CATGATGCCTCATCAAAGAAGCCGGAAATAAAAGGCCTCATATTGCACAATTCCAATGATATGGAATGTCTAGAACAGGCAAATCCACACACACAGAAAGCAAACTCTGTTTCAAAAAAAAAAAAAAGTGTGTGTGTGTGTGTGTGTGTGTACACACAAACCCCCTTATAAAATAAAAATATACAAGTAAGGCCAGGTGCGCTGGCTCACACCTGTAATCCCAACACTTTGGGAGGCCAAGGCAGGCAGATCACCTGAGATCAGGAGCTCAAGAACAGCCTGGCCAACATGGCAAAACCCATCTCTACTAAATATACAAAAAGCAGTGGGGCGCCTGTAATCTCAGCTACTCAGGAGGCTGAGGCAAGAGAATGGCTTGAACCTAGGAGGTGGAGGTTGCAGTGAGCTGAGATCGTGCCACAGCACTCTAGCCTGGGCAACAAGAGCAAGACTCCGTCTAAAAAATAAATAAACAAGTAAAACCCAGTACATGTATACCCTAGAAACCAGTGGACAGGTATCAGCACTTAGATGACCCATTAACCTTGGACAGTACCTTCCCCCCTGACAGTTGGGGACGGGACACAGAATTAAGATAAAACTCTCACAGCTGGGTGCGGTGGCTCACGCCTGTAATCCTGGCACTTTGGGAGGCTGAGGTGGGTGGATCACCTGAGGTCAGGAGTTCAAGACCAGCCTGGCCATCATGGTGAAACCCCATCTTTAAAAAATAAATAAATAAAAATAAAAATAAATAAATCAATCAATACTCTAGCTAAGAACACCAAATCCTTGTGCAATTCTCTTCCAACCCTGTAGATCAGCGGTCCCAACCTTTTTAGCCTAAGGGACCGGTTTCACGGAAGACAGTTTTTCCGTGGATATGGTGGGGCTAGGGTGGGGATGGTTTCGGGATGGTTCAAGCTCATTACATTTATTGTGCACTTTATTTCTATTATTATTACATTGTAATATATAATGAAATAATTCTACAACTCACTGTAATGTAGGATCAGTGGAAGCCCTCAGCTTGTCCTCTGGCAACTAGACAGTCCCATCTTGGGGGTGATGGGAGGCAATGACAGATCAGGCATTAGATTCTCATTAGAAGCCCAGAACCTAGATCCCTGGCATGTGCGTTCACAGCGGGGTTCATGCTCCTATGAGAATTTCGCGTTGCTGAGCTGATAAGAGGTGGAGATCAGGTATAATGCAAGTGATGGGGACTCACTGTAAATACAGAGGAAGCTTTGCTCACTTACCCTGTGCTTACCTCCTGCTGTGCGGCCCAGGCCCTAACAGGTCACGGACCACTGGACCAGTATGGGTCCATGACCCAGGGGCTGGGGACCCCTGCTGCAGACGATCTTAATAAGAAGGTCTTCACAGGGTGCAAGTGGATCATTAACACCCAATGTTGGCTGGATGCAGTGGCTCACGCCTGTAATCCCAGCACTTTGGGAAGCTGAGGTGGGTGGGTCATGAGGTCAGGAGTTCAAGACCAGCCTGACCAACATGGTGAAACCCTGTTTCTCTAAAAACACAAAAATTAGCTGGGCGAGGCAGTGCACATCAGTAATCCCAGCTACTCAGGAGGCTGAGGCAAGAGAAATGCATGAACCCAGGAGGTGGAGGTTGCAGTGAGCCAAGATCACGCCATAGCCCTCCAGCCTGGACAACAGAGTCAGACTCTGTCTTAAGCACAAAACAAAACAAAACACTTAACATTTGCCACCGTCCTTTTGGAACAAAGGGAAGAACAGGCCTTAGGCCCAGAGCCTAACAGACGTTAACAACTTTTTAAATTTTAATTGTTTTAATATGTCCACCTTGTTTATTGCAGTAATACCAAGTTTCCATCCTAGAATTGATTATCAAGTTTCCACTTAAGGCCAGTCATGGTGGCCTGCACTTTGAGAGGCCGAGGTGGGAGGATCACTTGAGGCCAGGAGTTTGAGACCAACTTGGGCACATGGCGAAACTCTGTCTCTACAAAAAGTACAAAAATTAGCCATGTGTGGTAGCGCGGACCTGTAGTTCCACTGTTTGGGAGGCTGAGGTGGGAGCCTGGGGAGGTCAAGGCTGCAGTGAGCAGAAACTGTGCCCCTGCACTCTAGCCTGTGTGACAAAGTGAGATCTTGTCTCAAAAAACAAAGAAAAGAAAAAAAAGGTCACTCTGGCCCACACTTCTCTTTTCAGGCAGTGGCATGGGAGGTGTCCCTGCAAATGCCCACTGCACACTGCATACTGCCTAAAGTGGGGAGGACTGGCTCCCAGCCAGCATGCAGAACCCAGTGCCCAGGCCCTCCACTTTTTTTTTTTTGAGATGGAGTCTCGCTCTGTCGCCCAGGTTAGAAGGCAGTGGTGCAATCTTGGCTCACTGCAACCTCAGCCTCCAAGTAGCTGGGACTACAGATACATGCCACCACGCCCGGCTGATTTCTGTATTTTTAGTAGAGATGATGTTTCACCATGTTGGCCATGCTGGTCTCGAACTCCTGACCTCAGGTGATCTGCCCGTCTTGCCCTCCCAACTTGCTGGGATTACAGGCGTGAGCCACCGTGCCCAGCCAGATCCACTATTTCCTCATGTGTCAAACAGAGATAAACACAGAATCTACCTCATAAGCCAGTAGTGAAAAATTCAGCCAACTCCTATAAATTCCTCAGAACAGGATGTGGACAGAGTAGGAACTCAATAAATGTTAGCTATTTGTTCTTTTTGTTGCTTAAGAGGCAACTCAGCAAGTTTATGCAGGAGTCCCATCTCCTTTGCAGACAGGCCCTTCTCCTTTCTCCCCCAGAAGGGAGCTCTTTAAGGGCTGCTATGGATTTCCGAGGTCAAAGGTGAAGGAGGAGAAATGTAAAGAGCTTCTCAGTGGGGAGAGAGGAGTAGGAGATACTCCCACCACCCCGGCCAGGCCCGGAAATGCCCTGTGGCCCTCAGTATCCTTACTCGAAAACAGTTCTGCTGAATTTCACCCTGGCAATGTAAATTGAGAGCTGATGTTCACAGGTGCAGGACAGAAAGTCATCCCTCAGCTTACCTGAGACAAATGCTGAGACCTCCTGAGGTCATGAACCTATCCTTAACCTTAGCAAAATAAGCTTGCTTTCTTTTTTCTCTTTTTTTTTTTTTTTTTTTTTTTTTGAGATGGAGTCTCTGTTGCTCAGGCTGGAGTGCAGTGGCACAATCTTGGCTCACTGCAACCTCTGCCTCCTGGGTTCAAGCGATTCTCCTGCCTCAGCCTCCTGAGTAGCTGGGATTCCAGGCACGCATCACCATGCCTGGCTAATTTTTCTATTTTTTTTTTTTAGTAGAGACGGGTGTTCCGCCATGTTGGCCAGGCTGGTCTCAAACTCCTGACCTTGTGATCCGCCTGCCTCAGCCTCCCAAAGTGTTGGGATTACAGGCCTGAGCCACCGTGCCCGGCCAGGCTTTCTAAATTGATTGACACCTGTCTCAAATACTTCAGATTCTCGGTCCTCTGCGGAGCGTCCACCAGCCCTTCCAGGTGGCTGCCTTTCCTGGCCACTCAGAGAGAGCCCATGCTCTCTGGCCTCTGCTCCCCAACCCGCAAACTCTCCCTTCAACCCACTTCTGAGCTAACTGAGTTGGGGAGGTCTGGCTCTATGACCACCCCTGAGCCAAGTCCTCCAAGGTCCCCTAAGACTTGCATAGGGCTGGGTTGGGGGAGGAAAGTACAGATTTGGAACACGTAAGATGGTGTCCAGGGATGGCCAAGTGAGAATTACCTGGAGAACAGCCCAGGCTAAAAGGGGGAAACACAATTACCAGCCCCTATGATCCATCAGGGCATGCTGAGGGTGAAACGGAAGGTAAGGCCCCTAACTGGCAGCCAGGTTCCCTCTCTCAGCCAGGTTCTGCTCCTGTAGCAAAGTGTGCTGGCAGGTGGGGTGGCTCATGCCTATAAGCTTAGCGCTTTGGGATGCTGAGGTGGGTAGATCACTTGAGGTCAAGAGTTTAAGACCATCCTGGCCAACATAGGGAAATCCTGTCTCTACTGAAAATACAAAAAATTAGCCAGGCTGAGGCAGGAGAATCGCTTGAACCCGGGGAGCGGAGGTTTCGGTGAGCAGACACCTTGCCACTGCATTCCAGTCTGGGCGACAGCAGGGCTGTTTGAAAAGAAAAAAAATTAATGAGGAGGGCGGGGCATGGTGGCTCACGCCTGTAATCCCAGCATTTTGCAGGGTGAGGTGGGCAGATCACCTGAGGCCAGGAGTTTGAGACCTGCCTGGGCAACAGGGAGAAACCCTCTCTCTACTAAAAAATACAAAATGTAGCCGGATGCGGTGGTGCACACCTGTAGTCCCAGCTACTCAGGTGGCTGAGGAAGGGGAATCCCTCGAACCTGGAAGGTGGAGGTTGCAGTGAGCCAAGATCACGCCACTGCACTCCAGCCTGGGCAACAGAGCAAGACTCTGTCTCAAAAAGAAAAAAAAAAAAAAAAAAAAGACTATTCACATCTTCCTGTACCAGCCACAACCACTCTGGTTCAATCACCAGCCTCCCCTGTCACTCCCAGAGCCTTGACACCACCTCATTCACCTGCTCAAAACCCAGTAGTGGCTTCCCAAGTCTCTCAGAACAAAACCCAGTCTCCTTATTGGCACTTTCTCTACCTAAGCCTTCCAACCTGCTCTTCCCCGCCTGTTTCTCATTCTTCCCAGCACTTAAGAGACAACCTTCAAAACCACCTTGTAGGTAAACAGCAGCCCCTGCTCTCCCGTCCCGTCACTCTTAACATTATTAGTACACCATTACCTGTATCTACAGCGACATTGTTCATTCACTCATTTATTTGTTTGCACCCTGTAGCCTCCTTGCCCCCACTGCCTAGGACGGGGCCCGACAAGCAGCAGGCACTCAGTACACAGGTGCTGAATGAATAAAATGAATGAAAAGAAAACAAAGGCCAGGGAAGCCGCGGATTTTGTCCCCACGCAGGCTTCCGTAAAATTCATTCATTTCCCCCGAAACCAGGTCTCCGAGGATTGCGCCAGCCGGACCCCGCGGCACCCCGACTCCCCGCGCGACAGGGCTCGGCGGCCGCCGCTTCTCACCCGGTCTTCGCGGCCACGTGGGGAAAGGAGGGGCGCACGGCCGTCACCCAGGGCACCGCCTCTAGCCCTTCCGGCCGCCGTACGCGCGCAGGCGCTGTGGCACCCTCCGTCGGCCTGCCTGAGCCCCGTGAACGGCTCACGAGGTAACTAAGGGCGATTGCGAACCAAGGTAAAGCCAACTAGGCCACCTGGTGCGCGACGGTGGCATCTTTGCCTCCCTTTCCGGGAGGCTCACTGTGGTTGCCGCCCCGCTCCCCAGAGGGAAATTTATTGCCTCCGGAGCGTCCGCCCAGAAGAAGCGGGCAGCGCGCTTGCGCAGAAGAGCCCGGCAGCGGCGGCCCACGCCTGCGCACCAGGACTCGGCGGCGGCTTGCGCCTGCGCGGCGCGGCGCTGCGGAGACCGTTGGTTCATTTGCATGTCCCCGCCTCGCGCGGCGGCGGCGGCGGCGGGTGAGGAGCCTAAGGCGGCGGCGGGGGCGGCTCCGCGCGCGGTGGTCTCGGGGTGAGGCCCGGGCCCTGGCGTCGTCGGTGGGTGGGTCCCGGGGTGGGAGGCACGGACTCGGCCTCGGGGGCCCGCCCCGGGCTCCGTCATGGCGTCGCAGGCTCGGCCCTCTGGCTGCGGTGGTGGCCGCGTCCCAGCTGGGTTGGCCTGGGTGACTGGCTGCGGCCTCCGGGGCCCGGCGCCCCCATTTCCTCGCCCTCAGACGCGGGGAGACGGCGGGCCGCGTCTAGAAAGGCACATTGGTTCAGTCGTTCATTCATTCCTCCCGAACTCTGGGTGACCCCCGGTCGTGAGGATTTAACGGCGCCCAGCGCTGCATCGGGCCCTTCCTCTCTTTCGAACCGGTTCAGCCCCCATAGCAGCCCGTTTACTAGCTGCCCATTCCATAGTTGGGGAAACGGAGGCACAGAAAGCTTAGGATCGTGTGATTTGAACCTGGGTCACCTGACCCAGGACCCCTGCTCTTCTCTAGCAGAGAACGAGGGGGCGCCCCAGGAAAAGGGCTGGAGGATGGGACGAGGGGGTGGTCGTGATGGGAAATCGACCCTACAGACTGCTTCTTGAAGGTAGAGGTTTTTGCGAGGCCGGTATCTTGATGGTTAAGGACGCAGCCCCTGGACCCCTAAATGTTGCCTCTTAATTTTTTACTCATTCTTCGGGGCTTTGGATGCATGAATACCCTCTTCACCAAGTTCAAGTCTGGGCTGGCTGATCTTGAGTGGGTGGCCAAGTGTGTCTCCCTTTGCCTCCACATCCTAATGTCATTCATAACAGGACCCGCCTCGTCAGTGGGTGGTTGCGAGATGGTGCAAAATGAACTCTGTCACTAATTCATTGTCACTCGTTGGAGGTCCCGCCACTCAGCTGTCGAGAGGCTTCTTTAAAAAGGAAGGAAATTCTCAGAGCCTCTGTGCCCTGCCAGGTTTGTAAAATGGGAAAAGAGCCATCCTGGGCTAGGCGCAGTGGCTCATGCCTGTAATCCCAGCACTTTTGGAGGCCGAATTGGGTGGATCACTTGAGGTCAGGAATTCAAGACCAGCCTGGCCAACATTGTGAAACCCCATCTCTACCTAAAATATAAAAATTAGCCGGGTGCGGTGGCAGTCGCCTGCAATCCCAGCTACTCGGGAGACTGAGGCAGGAGAATCGCCTGAGCCTGGGAGGCGGAGGTTGCAGTGAGCCGAGTTCGTGCCACTGCACTCCAGCCTGGCAACAGAGAAAAATCTCCAAAAAGGAAAAAGAACTGATCCCTTCTTTCCTAACCACCATTTGAGGGTTGTGGTCCCACCCTTCCTACTCTGCTATGTTCAGTTATGTGTGTCGGTTGACACCTTCCTCCAGCAGATAGGACTGCTTTTACAGAGCTGCTTTTAAGGGCTTCTGAGGAGATGGGCTCAGAGAAGATTTGTCTTGCTCGTTTTCAGCCAGTTTACAACTGTGAACTTCGTGAGGGCAGAGGCCCCCCCTTAAAAGGGTCCAACCAAAGCAGGTGGATCGCTAGAGGTCAGGAGTTCGAGATCAGCCTGGCCAACCTGGCAAAACCCTGTATCTACTAAAAAAAAAAAAAAAAAAAAAAAAAAAAAAAAAATTCCAGCCTGCCTCTGAAGTACCATGCGAGGATTATAGATTACTGCCTCCTTACTTCGAGGATTAGGCGAAATAGAGCAGATTCTGTGAACGCACAGTTGTCATTCTTTTTTTTTTTTCCCTTGAGACAGAGTTTCGCTCTGTCTCCCAGTCTGGAGTGCAGTGGCATGATCTCAGTTTACTGCAAACTCTACTTCCTGGATTCAAGCAATTCTCATGCCTCATCCTCCTGAGTATTTGGGATTACAGGCACATGCCACTGTGCCTGGCGATTTTTTTTTCTGAGACGGAGTCTCACTCTGTCACCCAGGCTGGAGTGCAGTGGCGTGATCTAGGCTCACTGCAAACTCTGCCTCCCGGGTTCAAGCAGTTCTCTTGCATCACCCTCCCAAGTAGCTGGGATTACAAGTGCGTACCGCCATGCCTTGCTAATTTTTGTATTTTTAGTAGAGACGGGGTTTTGCCATATTGGCCAGGCTGTTCTTGGAACTCCTGACCTTAAGTGATCTGCCCACCTCAGCCTCCCAAAGTGCTGAGATTACAGGTGTGAACCACCACACCCAGGCTGAATTTTTTGTATTTAAGTAGAGGCAAGGTTTCGCCATGTTGCCCGGCTGGTCTGGAACTCCTGAGCTCAGGCGATATGCCTGTCTCGATCTCGCAAAGTGCTCGGATTACAGGCATGAGCCACCTCGCCTAGCCCCAAGATGTTACTCTTAGTGTGTTTTTTTCTCTCTCACCATAGGGCAAAATAACATGGCAGCCAGACGAATTACACAGGAGACTTTTGATGCTGTGTTACAAGAAAAAGCCAAACGATACCACGTGGATGCCAGTGGTGAGGCTGTAAGCGACACTCTTCAGTTCAAAGCTCAAGGTAAAATGAAGTAGTGTTTTGTTGTTGTTTTGGTGAGGGTGTATCTTAGGGCCAGGGCAGGAAGAGTTCAATACCTTGGACAAACAATACTACTTCTGATACTTACATCCTTGCTTTCCTTATTTAGGAGGAGATATTTTTGTGTCTGTGTGCATGTGTGTTTGTGTTTGAGATGGAATCTCACTCTGTTGCCCAGGCTAGAATGCAATGGCATGATCTTGCCTCACTGCAACCTCCGCCTCCTGGGTTCAGGCAATTCTCCTGTCTCAGCCAATCAAGTAGCTGGGATTACACGCATCCACCACCACGCCCAACTGTTTTTATGCATTTTTAGTAGAGATGAGGTTTCACCATGTTGGCCAGGCTGGTTTCAATTCCCTGCAGGGATTACAGACGTAAGCAACCATGCCCAGCCCAGATAATGGTTTATATTTTGGTTTGGTTTAGTTTTTGAGACATGGTCTCACTCTGTCCCCCAGGCTGAAGTGCAATGGTGCAGGTATAGCTCACTGCAACCTTGAACTCTTAGGCTTAAGCCATCCTTTCGTCTCTGCCTCCCAGAGTGTAGAATTATAGGCATGAGCCACTGCACCTGGTCAGGAGATAAGGTTTTTATATGTCAGTCATCATTATGCAGATATCTGGAGCTTCTCCCCAACCCACCTCAGGACAGTTTTTGTTTGTTTTGAGATGGAGTTTTGCTCTTGTTGCCCAGGCTGGAGCACAATAACAGGATCTCAGCTCACTCCAACCTCTGCTTCCTGGGTTCAAACCATTCTCCTGCCTCAGCCACTTGAGTAGCTGGGATTACAGGCACACACCACCACGCACGGCTGATTTTTGTATTTGTAGTAGAGATGAGGTTTTACCACATTGGCCAGGCTGGTCTTGAACTCCTGACCTCAGGTGATCTGCTCTCCTCGGCCTCCCAAAGTACTGGGATTATAGGCATGAGCCACCGAGCCCAGCCCAGTTTTGTTTTTGTAAAATAGATATGGGATCTTGCTGTGTTTTTCAGGCTGGTCTTCAACTCCTGGGCTCAAGTGATACTCCCACCTCTGCCTCTGGCGTGTTGCAATTACAGGTGTGAGCCATGCACCCAGCTCCGAGACAGGTTCTTGGATCCATTTCCTGGCTCCATCCCCATCACCACTGCCCAGGTTTAAGCTCTATCAGTTCTTACCTGGATAATCACAACAATTTCCTTCTGCAGCATCTCTCTGTTTCTGGCTTCATTTCCCTCATATCTACCCTTTATAGAGATGGTCCACAGATCTATTAGTGCCAGCCTCACTGAGCCACTGCTCTGCTTGGACTCTGGGGCTCCCCACTGCAGGATACATCCTCAGAGGTGTGCAGGAGCAGTCAGGTCACAGTATGAACAAGTCAGGAGGGCATGGGGCCACCTGTAGAGCTGCCGACTTTAGGACCTGCCTGAAGACATTCCTGTTGGAAAGTTTTGACACACCATCCCAGCAGAATCAAAAAGAGGGCCTGCACTGATCACAGGATGGCATGAAGGGTCCTTCGTTTCCTGCCTTGCACCTCACATTGAGGGCTGCTGTGCTGCCTGCTGTCTATGCTTTGAATTCCTCCTGTCCCAGCACTGCCTGGTAAATTCCCTCAGGCACCAAGACAGCTCACAGGTGCCTTCCCCCAGGAAGCCTCAGCATGCCTTGAGGCTGATTTGGTTGCCCTTTCCTGCCCCAGGGAAGTACGTGTACTCAGTCCTCTGCCTGCTCCTCTGGGTAGCCAAGACAGTGCTGCTCCCAGGTGGAGGAAGTCTCCTGTGTTGGGTGAGTAAATCTTTAAGTGTTTGGATAGGAATAATAAACATGCTCTGGAACTGGAGAAAGCGAGCCTCAGAGATTATCTTCATATCTTGAGTTTTCAAAAATTACATGAGTAGTACACACAAACATTCCTGTTATAAAATATTGTAACAGGCCAGGTGCAGTGGCTCACACCTGTAATCCCAGCACTTTGGGAGGCTGAGGGGGCGGATCACAAGGTCAGGCATTCAAGAGCAGCTTGACCAACATGGTGAAACCCCATCTCTACTAAAAAAATACAAAAATTAGCCGGGCGTGGTGGCGCGTGCCTGTAATCCCAGCTACTCAGGAGGCTGAAGCAGGAGAATCACTTGAACCGGGAGGTGGGGGTTGCAGTGAGCTGAGATGGCGCTGCTGTACTCCAGTCTGGGTGACAGAGTAAGACTCCGTCTCAAAAAAAAAAAACAATTAAAAAATTGGAACAAATAAGTAAAGATTAAAATAAAAGTAATCTTAACTGCTTGCGTATCCATCTTAGGTATAACTGTATCTGTGGTTTTTGTGCATTCTTTTGTTCTTTTAGTGTAATGCGTATATATGATGCTGAATATTTGTTTCATTTAGATGGAGATGTAAATATTTGTTCAACTTTACCTAGAGACTCAAGCACCAATACATATATTAGTTTCTTTAAGAAAAATTAGGCCGGGCGCGGTGGCTCAAGCCTGTAATCCCAGCACTTTGAGAGGCCGAGGCGGGCGGACCAGGAGGTCAAGAGATTGAGACCATCCTGGTCAACATGGTGAAACCCCGTCTCTACTAAAAAAAAAAAAAAAATCAGCTGGGCATGGTGGCGCATGCCTGTAATCCTAGCTACTCAGGAGGCTGAGGCAGGAGAATTGCCTGAACCCAGGAGGCGGAGGTTGCGGTGAGCCGAGATCGCGCCATTGCACTCCAGCCTGGGTAACAAGAGCGAAACTCCGTCTCAAAAAAAAAAAAAAAGAAAGAAAGAAAAAAAGAAAAAATAGGGAGCTGGGCACAGTGGCTCAAACCAGTAATCCCACCACTTTGGGAGGCTGAGGCAAGAAGATCACCTGAGACCCGGAATTACAGACCAGTCTGGGCAAAAAAGTGAAAGTCCATCTCTACAAAAAAATAAAAAGTTATCTGGGCACAGTGGCATGCGCCTATGGCCATAGCTACTTGGGAGGCTGAGGCAGGAATTTTGCTTGCGCCCAGGAAGTTGAGGCTGCAGTAAGCTGTGTTTGCATCACTGTACTCCAGCCTGGGTGACAGAGTGAGACCCTGTCTCAAAAGCAAAAAGATGGCCAAGTGCAGAGGCTCTCACATGTAATCATGGCACTTTGGGAAGCCAAAGAAGGCAGATCACCTGAGATCAGGAGTTAGAGACCAGCCTGGCCAACATAGTGAAACCTCATCTCTACTAAAAATACAAAAATGTGGCTGGTGCCTGTAATCCCAGCTACTTGGGAGGCTGAGGCAGGAGAATCGCCTGAACCCGGGAGGTAGAGGTTGCAGTGAGCCAAGATCACACTGCTGCACTCCAGCCTGGGTGAGTGAGACTCCATCTCAAAAAAAAAAAAAAAAAAAAAAAAGAAAGAAAGATAAGGGGGCCTCAGGTGGGAGAGGACTAGAAACCTAGCAGTATGCTAGGTGGTTCTGGAAGATTTTTTTGTTGCAAAGCAGTCTATGGTTTAGCCTTTCTCTGTTTCTCTGCTCTACTCTGAACTTTTCCTCTCCTCATAAAGGGTATCAGAAAATTCTCTTGAGTAGAATCCAGCCATCATTCTCTGTCTCTCGTGATCCCTCCCTAATCATGCCATCAATACTAATCATTAATAACTGGGTTATAACAGTGGATTTCTTGCTGGAACATCCACATCTGTGCTCACCTCCTTCAATCTGTTCCCTGCACAGCAGCCAGTGAGGTTATCCCTCACTTAGAACTCTACATTGGCCTTCTGTCTTACCCAAAGTAAATTCCAGAGTACCAGTGAAGGCCCGGCTTGGATCTGGTACTCCTTCTCCATTAGTGGTTCCCTAACTTTGCAGCATGTTAGAGTCATCTGGGGGCTTTTTAAAAACCCTGAAGCCCAGGTCACACCCTTATTAAATAAAGATGTCTGGGGAGGTGGTCCCCTGGGGACTCCAGTATCAGAGTTTGGGAGCTACCTTCCTACCACTTGGCCTTTTGTTCCCTCTGTTCCCTCCGTCTACACTGGCCCCCTACTGGCCCTATCTTGGGGCCTTGTCCTCATTCCCCCTCTGCCTGAAAGGCTTTCCTTTGTAACTGTACAGTCTGGCCCCTCATGCCAGACCACTGCTGCTAGATAGTGTGTCAGAGCTACCCTCCTTGACCAACCTGTCTCAAAAGTTCATTGCATCCTCAGGTTCCCACCTGCCTGATTTTTCTTCTTGGAACTTACTTGCTTCTGATAGATTTCTGTATATTGTTTGGCTCTCCCAACTGACAAGTTTGGGAGAGTTCTTGTTTTCTTGCTGTAATGCAGTGTATGCACATAGTAGGTGCCCAGTTTGTACTTGCTGAACAACTGAACTAGGATTTATACATGACTTTGGCTTCCTGTGGCCTCTTAACCCATTACTATTTTCTGGCACTTCTTTCCCATTCATTTGATTTTTTTTTTTTTTTTTAACTAGGTCATTGATTCTGATTTAAAAGCTAGAAAGAAAGGCACTCCATGAAAACTCTCCCACAGACCCACTGTTCCCATATGCCTGTAGTTCACTTCTGTTTCTTGCCTCTTACAGAGTTTCTCCATGTGTGAATAAGCAAATGCAAGTACATCTTTCCCTCCACCCTTTTTTCTTTTTGACAGAGACAGGGTCTTGCTCTGTTGCCCAGGCTGGTCTCAAATCTCCTGGACTCAAGTGATCCTCCCACCTCAGCCTCCCGTAGTGTGGGAATTATAGGTTTCAGCCACTGTGACTGGCCCATTTCCCCTTTTCTACACGGAGGAGGACAGAAGTAGGCACTGTTCAGTTTCCATCACGGCTTCTTTTGATGTATCTTGTTAAGCTTCTGCCTTCCTGCCTGCCTGCCTCAGTCTGTGGTTTTTCAGCTCCAGAGAGAGGATTGATTGGCCTCGCAGACCTTTCTAAGGGATGGGTTCAGTCAGCTTTGGGTCAGCTATGGTGGGTGTGGTAGTAGCTGTGACTCCAGCCTCACAGTGGTACTGTGATCTGAGACTCCTCTAGGAGGCAGTGAAGGCAGGCAGCCCCAGTAAAACCTGTCTGCTCTAAGATAGAAGTAGAAACACAAGTGTTAAAGTTGCAGTAAAAATATCCAGATTATTTGGGGACCAAACGTCCTTTCCTCAGTCTAAAAGAGGGATTGTCAAACCAGATGGCTAGAGAGGAGGGATCTGAATGAGCGAGGGCTGCTGGTGGCAACTTAGAGAGTCTGTGTCCTGCTGCTGGGCTGCTGCTGCCCATCCTGGATTGACTGTCATCAGGGCAAACTCAGGCTTGGTGCTTGTAGGTCTCTTGTTTCAGTAAGTAGTTGATCTAGGTTTAAAGTGACATCACACACTTTTTTTTTTGGTGATAGCAAACATCCCATTTTCTGAGGAACCACACACATTTTAAATGTTGGCAACAAACACAGATTGGTAGAAAGCACTGAGGTGTATAAAGCACTTTTGCTACCTGGTGATCATGGACTGTCTGTTTGCATCTTCTGGTCTAAAGTACCTTTTGCATGTTTTATTTCAGATCTCTTAAGGGCAGTCCCAAGATCCAGAGCAGAGATGTATGATGACGTCCACAGCGATGGCAGATACTCCCTCAGTGGATCTGTAGCTCACTCTCGAGACGCCGGAAGAGAAGGCCTGAGAAGTGACGTATTTCCAGGGCCTTCCTTTAGATCAAACAACCCTTCTATCAGTGACGACAGCTACTTTCGCAAAGAGTGTGGCCGGGATCTGGAATTTTCTCACTCTGATTCCCGGGAACAGGTCATTGGACACCGGAAATTGGGACATTTCCGTTCTCAGGACTGGAAATTTACGCTCCGTGGTTCTTGGGAGCAAGACTTTGGCCAGCCGGTTTCTCAAGAGTCCTCTTGGTCACAGGAGTATAGTTTTGGTCCCTCTGCAGTTCTGGGGGACTTTGGATCTTCCAGGCTGATGGAGAAAGAGTGTTTGGAGAAGGAGAGTCGGGACTACGATGTGGACCATCCCGGGGAGGCTGACTCCGTGCTCAGGGGCAGCAGTCAAGTCCAGGCCAGAGGCCGAGCTCTAAACATCGTTGACCAGGAAGGTTCCCTCCTAGGCAAAGGGGGAGACTCAGGGCCTGCTCACAGCTAAGGGAGGTGTTGGGAAACTTGTCACCTTGAGAAATGTGAGCACAAAAAAAATACCCACCATGAATCGTATTACTCCTAAAACTCAGGGCACTAACCAAATCCAGAAAACCACTCCAAGTCCTGATGTGACCCTGGGGACCAACCCAGGGACAGAAGATATCCAATTCCCCATTCAGAAGATCCCTCTGGGGCTGGATCTGAAGAATCTTCGGCTCCCCAGAAGAAAGATGAGCTTTGACATCATAGATAAGTCTGATGTTTTTTCAAGATTTGGGATAGAAATAATCAAATGGGCAGGATTCCACACTATAAAAGATGATATTAAATTTTCCCAACTTTTCCAGACTCTCTTTGAACTTGAAACAGAAACCTGTGCTAAAATGCTCGCCTCATTCAAATGTTCCTTAAAACCAGAGCACAGAGATTTTTGCTTTTTTACTATCAAATTTTTAAAGCACTCTGCTTTGAAAACACCCAGAGTTGATAATGAGTTTTTAAACATGCTTTTAGACAAAGGTGCTGTGAAGACCAAAAATTGCTTTTTTGAAATCATAAAGCCCTTTGACAAGTACATAATGAGACTTCAAGATCGGCTTCTGAAGAGTGTCACACCTTTGCTTATGGCCTGCAATGCCTATGAGCTGAGTGTCAAGATGAAGACTCTCACTAACCCCCTGGACTTGGCTCTTGCCCTGGAAACCACCAATTCTCTCTGCCGGAAGTCTCTGGCCCTTCTGGGGCAGACATTTTCCTTGGCCTCTTCTTTCCGGCAAGAGAAAATCTTAGAAGCTGTCGGCCTCCAAGATATAGCTCCCTCTCCTGCTGCATTTCCAAACTTCGAAGACTCCACTTTGTTTGGTAGAGAGTACATAGACCACCTGAAGGCCTGGCTGGTCAGTAGCGGGTGTCCCCTCCAGGTTAAGAAAGCCGAACCAGAGCCGGCCCGAGAGGAGGAGAAAATGATTCCTTCTATCAAACCTGAAATTCAGGCCAAGGCTCCGAGTAGTCTGAGTGATGGTAAGGAGAACAGCCAAAGTTTCTATTTGCTGCTTTTTCGTGTTTTTTTGGTAATGTCTTTCTTCTATTCGAGATTTTTTTTTTTTTATGTGGACGCTCTAGCCAATTGGAAAGAAATGAGGATTTTAGTAGAAAATGCACATTGGCTAATATATGTCTGCCATTCATTCTGTGAGTGTATATTAGGAATCTGCTGTGTACTATAGAAGTCTTTTTTTTTTTTTTTTTATGACAGGGTTTCACCATGTTGGTCAGGCTGGTCTTGAACTCCTGACCTCAGGTGATTCACCCGCCTTGGCCTCCAAAGTGCTTGGATTACAGGCATGAGTCACCACGCCTGGCATATAGAAGTCTTTAGGCTAGGCACGGTGGTTCACGCCTATAATCCTAGCACTTTGGGAGGCTGAGGCAGGCAGATCACTTGTGGTCAGGAGTTCGAGACCAGCCTGGGCAACACGGTGAAACCCCGTCTCTACTAAAAATACAAAAATTAGCCGGATGCAGTGGTGTGCACCTGTAATCCCAGCTATTTGGGAGGCTGAGGCATGAACCTTGAACCCAGGAGGCTGAGGTTACAGTAAGCCGACTTTGCGCCACTGCACTCCAGCCTGGGCTACAGAGTGAGACCCCGTCTCAAAAAAAAAGTCTTTAGACAGCCAGGTGCGGTGGCGCACGCCTGTAATCCCAGCACTTTGGGAGACCAAGGCGGGTGGATCACTTAGGACCAGGAGTTCAAGACCAGCCTGGCCAACATGGGGAAACCCCATCTCTACTGAAAATACAAAAACTAGCTGGGCGTGGTGGCACACACCTGTAATTTCAGCTACTCAGGAGGCTGAGTCAGGAGAATCACTTGAACCTGGGAGGTTACAGTGAGCAAAGATGGCACCACTGCACTCTGGCCTTTTGAGACAGAGCAAAACTCTGTCTCAAAAAAACAAAAATCTTTAGACATGTTTAGGTCAAATACCTCTCTGGGAATTTGGTAGAAAGCTGTGGCCATTGCCAGAAAAAATGCTCATCTATTCATACACAATTTTACCTATCCCTTCTGGGGGGTTTGTACCTTTCTGCAGCCAAGGTTAACCCTTGTTCCTTTTTTTTTTCCCCAACCTTTGAAAGAAAGAAGACTTGACTTTCTTTCTTTGTTTTTATTTTTTGAGACAGGGTCTTGCTCTGTCACCCAGTCTGGAGTGCAGTGGCATGATCAGGGCTCACTGCAACCCCGACCTCTCAGGCTCAAGTGATCCTTCCACTTCAGTCTCCTAATTAGCTGGGACTACTGGTGTGTACCACCTTGCCTGGCCAATATTTTTTGGTATTTTTTTTGTAAAGAACCATGTTGCTGGTCTCAAACTTGTGAGCTCAAGTGATCTGCCCACTTCAGCCTCCCAAAGTGCTGGGATTATAGGTGCGAATCACTGTGCCTGGCCTAGAACCCTTGTTCCTATGTGTCCCCACAAGGTATTACTAGAAGGGAGAAAAAAAACACTGGACACTGTCTCTGAGGAATCCCCAGGCTCCTGAGGAAGAAAATCGCTAAGACCAGTCACTGGTGAGCCAGGCGTGGTAGCACATGTATGTGTTCCCAGCTACTCGGGAGGTTGAGGAGGAAGGATTGCTTGAGGCCAGGAGTTCAAGGCTGCAGTGACCTACGATTGCATCTGTGAATAGCCATCGTACTCCAGCCTCTGGGGAATATAGCATCACCCTGTCTCTCAATAAACCAAAACAAAAAAACGATCACTCCTTTGCTAGAATTAAAGTGACATAGGAGAGGCCCCAGCCCAGCCTGGAGAGTTGGGGAGGTTGTTCCTGAGCTGTATTGAGGGATGCACAAGGACCAGCTAGGTCAGGCGTCCCCAAACTTTTTACACAGGGGGCCAGTTCACTGTCCCTCAGACCTTTGGAGGGCCGCCACATACTGTGCTCCTCTCACTGACCACCAATGTTAGAGGTGCCCCTTCCTGAAGTGCCGCGGGGGGCCGGATAAATGGCCTCAGGGGGCCGCATGCAGGCCCGCGGGCCTATAGTTTGGGGACGCCTGAGCTAGGTCATTCCACATAGCAACTTTTCACCTTACTCACTTTTCTAGACTGGCTAAAGTTGATGCATCACTTAAGTACACCTGCTAGTTAGCAGTCCATCATTGGCTTTCTGGGGAGAGGAAAAGGCCAAGGAGGAGAATTAGAAGCGATGAGCTGTTTGGTTTCCCTCTTCCTTCTTCCTGAGCACCCAGAATGGACTCTCACAGCCCAGACATCCCAGAGGTCATGAGCATACATGGTAGCCATGCTGTCTTAACTCTTGTGATAGAGACAAAGCACTTTTCCCACTGATGTAGTTTTTACCTTCCATTGCCTCCAGCGCAGTGGAGAAGTGTCATTTGTTCCTGACATTCTTTGCTCCTTCACCACTCTCCTAAAGCCCCAGTGGCACTAGACACTGGATAGGTCCCACCACATACAGGTGGCCACACCTATTCCTAGAGAGGGGTCCTTCCAGAAGCAGGCTCAGGGCTGAAGGGACGCTACTTCCCAACCCCTGACAAAGTGATGGGTTACTGTATGAAGAAGGAAGAGTCACCCATAACCTCAAGTGGCTATAACCCACCCACTTACCTTCCCATAGCCTTTGATGTTCCCCATGTTTTCCTGCAGCTGCAGGCAAGCTGGACTGAAAATGCTACCTCCTGCTCTTCTGCGTGATTGCCAGAAAGCCCTCTTCTGTGTTTCGATAGCATTTGCTACGTTGTGATAATTGATCTAATGTAAATTACCTCACCGTTCCCTTGATGCTGGACTCAGGCTGCCTTTTACTAGAGATTTCTAAAGCCAGACAGACCTGGGTTCACATGTAGTTGGCGTCTGCCAGCCTCAGTTCCATGTCTGGATAGGGGGATAGCTGGCAGCAGAGCCCACATCTCATGGGGCTGCCCTGCTGCTGCTTACGTTCCTGTTAAAAATGCTGAAGTAGGCCAGGCATGGTGGATCACGCCTGTAATCCCAGCACTTTGGGCGGCTGAAGTGGACACATCACCTGAGCTCAGGAGTTTTGAGATCAGCCTGGCCAACATGATGAAACACTGTCTCTACTAAAAATAAAAAATTAGCCTGGCGTGGTAGCACACTCCTGTAATCCCAGCTACTTGGGAGGCTGAGGCAGGAGAGACGCTTGAATTCGGGAGGTAGGAGTTGCATTGAGCTGAGATCGCACCACTGCACTCCAGCCTGGGTGATGAGCGAAACTCCGTCTCAAAAAAAGAGAAAGAAATGCTGGAATGACCTCTTTGGTCGAATGCATTGGTTATTACTATTAGTTTTATTTTTTAAATTCTCCTTGAAAGGATACATTCTCAGGAGTAGGATTGCTGGGCCAAAGTTGTGACCTACTTTCTGACCCTTGCTCATGGTCATCCTAGCTAAAGATGATGCAAGGGTCCCCAAACTTCATTGCTGACTTTAAACCTCAACATCTTTTGTAAAATCATGTAAAACTAATAGTTCTGTAAAAGGAGAGCCATGAAAAAAAGCCACTTTCATAGGGGACATACTTGGAATAACATGGCAGTTGAAGGATTTACTCGTCATGTGTGAGGAGCTCACACTAGTGTTTAAGCTCAAAGCTGGAACACGGCCACAGGCGGGACAGGACTGTGCCATCATTTACAGAACAAACTGGAAAAACCTCACTAGGTCAGCAGTGATTTTAATTGAATGGCTGAACAAATAGACCATTTTGTGCTTTTAAAACCAGCCAGTTATCAGGAAACTAATCCATCTTACCATTTGAAGAAATATGTTCTTCCTTGTTGCTGGCAGCATTGTAAATTTAAAGTCATATTCGGGCGGGGGAAGCAGGTGCGTGAAAAAATTAAAAAATTAAAAAAAATTAAAGTCATGTTAGAGGAAGTTCACACTTTAAAAAATGTTTTAGGCAGGGCATGGTGGCTCACGCCTGTAATCCCAGCACTTTGGGAGATAGAGGAAGGCAGATCACTTGAGCCCAAGAATTGAAGACCAGCCTGAGCAACATGGTGAAGCCTCATCTCTACAAAAAAATAAAAAAAATTAGCCAGGCATGGTGGCACACGTCTGTACTCCCAGCTGCTCAGGAGGCTGAGGCAGGAGAATTGCTTGAGTCCAGGAGTTCAAAGTTGCCGTGAGCTGTCATCAGACCACACTGCACGCCAGCCTGGGTGACAGAATAAGATCCTGTCTCAAAAAAGAAAAAATTTGTTTCTTATACATTCAGCAGATATTTTCTTTGAACACAACTTGGATCATTGACCTTCTTTGTTAATTAGATAAAAATTTTTTTGTAAATTTACATATTTTTCCGATTACAAAACACAAGTATTTTTTTTAAAGATAAAGCACACAAAAAAGACAAAGCACAAAGAAAATGAAATTCCTTATAATTCTACCACCTATAACCTCTATTAACATATTTCCTTGTAGTCTTTTTTTTTTTTTTTTTGAGACAGAGTCTTACGTTGTCATGTAGGCAGTGGCGTGATCTTGGCTCACTGTAACCTCTGCCTCCCAGGTTCAAGCAATTCTCCTGCCTCAGCCTCCTGAGTATCTGGGATTACAGGTGTGTACCACCATGCCTGGCAAATTTTTTGTGTGTTTTTAGTAGAGACGGGGTTTTACCATATTGGCCAGGCTGGTCTCAAACTTCTGATCTTGTGATCTGCCTGCCTTGGCCTCCCAAAGTGCTGGGATTACAGGCATGAGCCGCTGTACTGGCCTGTAGCCTTTTTTCTATGTGTCCTTATTTATGTATTTGTTTCTTCCCTCCTTCATATTGAAAACCATAGCGTAGATACATTTTTTTGTATGTTTTATACTAGATAGATACATTTTGTATCTTTGTATTTTTCACTTTAATGTTACGAACAAATTAAGTGATACATGAAAAATCATTAAATGGCTATATATCTTTCTTTTTCTAGAGTATATACATAAATTGCTCTGTGCAGTCTTTGAAAGCTTATGACTATTTCTGTCCTAGTGGTTATGCTGTTACTTTTATTTTATTTTTTATTTTTATTTTTTTGAGACAGAGTCTTGCTCTGTCACCAGGCGCCAGGTTGGAGTACAGTGGCGCGATCTTGGCCCACTGCAACCTCTGCCTCCCAGGTTCAAACCATTCTCCTGCCTCAGCCTCCCAAGTAGCTGGGACTACAGGCACACGCCACCATACCCAGCTAATTTTTGTATTTTAGTAGAGACGGGGTTTCACTATATTGGTCAGGATGGTCTCCATCTCTTGACCTTGTGATCTGCCTGCCTCAACCCCCCAAAGTGCTGGGATTACAGGTGTGAGCCACCGTGCCCGGCTGCTGTCACATTTTTTGGAGGAGATTTTGCATATTGGTTTCTAGAATAAGCTGTTGTTTGCCTCTTTAATGCTGGTGACTTGTAAATGAGGATTTCAGTTGTTGGTGTCTGCTTGGCTTCAGCACTAAGCCCCCCACTACTCAACTATCCTTGTCTTCCCAGAGCCCGCACTGAGCATATTTCTCAGAAAAGCTGTTCTTTGTGTTCCAGCTGTCCCCCAGCGAGCAGATCACAAGGTAGTGGGGACCATCGACCAGCTTGTGAAACGTGTCATCGAAGGCAGCCTGTCTCCCAAAGAGAGAACTCTTCTCAAGGAGGACCCTGCTTACTGGTAGGTCTTTAAATGTCCACCCCGTGAATCCCTCTCATGGAGTATATAGCAAACTTTGGGTCCTTCTGATGGTGTTGAGAGCAGAGAGCGAGATACTTACTTGAGCAGTGCTGTTCTCCGGTGAGAAGAGCATGAGTGTGGCCCAGGTTTATGTGGTCTCAGGAAGCCCCAGCTCTGCTGCAGACCAGTGGTAGGCTGGCTGAGTGGGTGGCCTTCTCTCACCTGTGAACACAGCTCCAAGTCCCTGCTGTGCTGTTTTAAGGATGCAATGAGATGTGTATGCAACATCCTTGCAGCTGTTTGCAATTTCTTGCTAGTATTTGTTAAACTGTCTTTTGTTTTACTGCCTCTTTATGTGAATAGAATAACTTTTTAAAATTATAGTGTGCATCCTAAGTATAGTACTTGCATATTAGAGAAAGTAAAGAACAGGCCAGAGAAGAGTGTCGCTGTGTCACCCAGGCTGGAGTGCAGTGGTGTGATCTCGGATCACTGTAACCTCCGCCTCTTGGGTTCAAGCAATTCTTCTCCCTCAGCCTTCCAAGTAGCTGGGACTACAGGCATGCGCCACCATCCTCAGCCAATTTTTGTATTTTTTTTTTTTTTTTTTTTTTGAGACAGAGTTTCGCTCTTGTTACCCAGGCTGGAGTGCAATGGCGCGGTCTCGGCTCACCGCAACCTCCGCCTCCTGGGTTCAAGCAATTCTCCTGCCTCAGCCTCCCGAGTAGCTGGGATTACAGGCACGCGTCACCACGCCCAGCTAATTTTTTGTATTTTTAGTAGAGACGGGGTTTCACCATGTTGACCAGGATGGTCTGGATCTCTCGACCTCGTGATCCACCCGCCTCGGCCTCCCAAAGTGCTGGGATTACAGGCTTGAGCCACCGCGCCCGGCAAATTTTTGTATTTTTAATAGAGACGAGGTTTTCACCATATTGGCCAAGCTGGTCTCAAACTCCTGACCAGCCTTGGCCTCCCAAAGTTCTGTGATTACAGGCATGAGCCACTGAGCCCGGCTATTGAGTACGTTTTATTTAATAAATACTTGTGCTTTCTGTGTAGTTGGTACTGTTCTAAGCACATTACTGATTTAAGCACTACCTGATTGAATCCTCATAAATAACATTGGAAGTCAGGTCTATTGCTGTCCTTATTTTACAGACAAGAAACTTTGAGGCTCCAAGAGCTCTCTTGAGGCAAAGTTGAGATTCAAATCCAGTGTCTGTGGTCTCAACCAGTGTGCATGCTGAAGGAAGGAAGCTAGATAGCCTCAGATTGACAGATGCAAGCAGATAGCAGACCCTCTTGATAAGAAGTCATCCAGACTTAGAAGTGCCTGGGGGCACTTTCCATGTGGTTGATAAGGTGATTAGGCTGGAGGAATAGGTGGCCCTTAGAGGACTGGGGGCCAGTGCCTCTGCCTCATGACCCCTGCCCATGGCCCAGTGGTCTCATGGTCACTGATAACCAGGTGTAGCAGACAGAAGTCAGAGCCAGGGGTGCATGTGGATAATGGGCAGGGCAGGGCAGGGTACACAATCAGAAATAAGCATCAAACGGAGAACTGATATTTGAGGTAAATCAGTATCATGAAAGAGAATCACCAAACTCAACAAATGGCTGACACCCTAGAAGACAGAGTTACTATAAGAAGGAGGAGGTTTAGGGCCAGGCGCAGTGGCTCACGCCTGTAATCACAAAACTTTGGGAGGCCAAGGCTGGTAGATCACGAGGTCAGGAATTCGAGACCAGCTTGGCCAATATGGTGAAAACCTCATCTCTACTAAAAATACAAAAATTGGCTGAGGATGGTGGCGCATGCCTGTAGTGTCAGCTGCTCAGGAGGCTGAGGGAGAATTGCTTGAACCCAGGAGGCGGAGGTTACAGTGATCCGAGATCATACCACTGCACTGCAGCTGGGGGTGGGGGAGGGGAGGGTTATAGTCTATAAACAAAAAAAAATAGAAAGAAAGGAGGAGGGGGGAGAAAGAAAGAAAAAGAGGAGGAGGTTTAGTCTATAAATACGTATGTGTAATGAATAGTCAATTAATAAGAGTATATCGTATCCATGAAACAGGCACTGGTTGCTATGAAAACGATCCTGTTAAAGATCTTGGAAATGAAAAGCAGATTGAAATAAAAATCTCGGTGGTTGGATAGAGTAGATCCTGATAGACAGATTTAAGAGCTGGTCCCAGAGACTGTATCATCCAAAATCTCTTTCAGAAGAAATTACCTGGCCAGGTGTGGTGGGTCACACCTGTAATCCCAACACTCTGGGAGGCCAAGGCAGGTGGATCACCTGAGTTCAGGAGTTCAGACTAGCCTGGCCAACATGGTGAAACCCCATCTCTACTAAAAATACAAAAAATTAGTCAGACGAGATGGAAGGTACCTATAATCCTAGCTACTTGGGAGACTGAGGCACGAGAATCACTTGAACCCAGGAGGTGAAGGTTTTGGTGAGCCGAGATTGGGCCACTGCACTTCAGCCTGGGCATGACAGAATGAGACTCTGTCTCAAAAAAAAAAAAAAAGAAAAAAGGAATTACCAAGAAACTATAAGGAAAGAGTGTGATAGAAAAGCACAGCAATAAGTAAAGAAACTGTTGGGCCGGGCGCGGTGGCTCAAGCCTGTAATCCCAGCACTTTGGGAGGCCGAGGCGGGTGGATCACGAGGTCGAGAGATCGAGACCATCCTGGTCAACATGGTGAAACCCCGTCTCTACTAAAAATACAAAAAATTAGCTGGACATGGTGGCGCGTGCCTGTAATCCCAGCTACTCAGGAGGCTGAGGCAGGAGAATTGCCTGAACCCAGGAGGCGGAGGTTGCGGTGAGCCGAGATCGCACCATTGCACTCCAGCCTGGGCAACAAGAGCGAAACTCCGTCTCAAAAAAAAAAAAAAAAAAAAAAAAGAAACTGTTAAACTTAGGTTTCTGGTGGTCATGTTTGAATTATTAAGTCAAAATGCTCCTTGTATGTTATACTTAAGAAAATAATCAATTGAACACATAATGAAAAGCCAAATGTTTCCGCTGTGACTTGTTCCCATGTTCCACTCCTTGAAGGCAGTTACTTAGTTGTTCAAACTGCTTCTTACTGATAACCTCTGTATCTCTCTTTTTTTTTTGAGACGGAGTTTCGCTCTTGTTACCCAGGCTGGAGTGCAATGGTGCAATCTCGGCTCACCGCAACCTCTGCCTCCTGGGTTCAGGCAGTTCTCCTGCCTCAGTCTCCTGAGTAGCTGGGATTACAGGCACAAGCCACCATGCCCAGCTGATTTTTTGTATTTTTAGTAGAGACGGGGTTTCACTGTGTTGACCGGGATGGTCTCGATCTCTCGACCTCGTGATCCACCCGCCTCGGCCTCCCAAAGTGCTGGGATTATAGGCTTGAGCCACCGCGCCCGGCACCTCTGTATCTCTTAATAAGCCTATGTTGCTTTTTCTTGACTGAACACTTTTATGCATGACCATTAACATTCTGTGAAGATGTGTGTGGATTAATAAGTTCTTTTTTTTTGAGAGATGAGATCTCACTCTCTCACCCAGGCTGGAGCACAGTGGCAGGATCATAGCTCACTGCAGCCTCAACCTGGGTTCACAAAATCCCTCTGCCTCAGTATCCCAAGTAGCTGGGACTACAGGAGCGTACCACCACATTCAGCCATCAACCTTTTTTTTTTTTTTTTTTTTTTTTTTTTTTTTCTTAAGAAATAGGTTCTTGCTGTGTTGCCCAGTCTGGTCTCTAACTCTTGGGTTTAATCGATCCCCCAAAGCACTGAGATCAGGCATGAGCCATCATGCCCAGCCTTAATAAGTTCTTTTTATTATAACTCAATCAAGACAAAAAATTTTTAAAGTCAAAATTTTTTTTTTTTTTTTTTTTTTTGAGACGGAGTTTCGCTCTCGTTACCCAGGCTGCAGGCTGGAGTGCAATGGCGCGATCTCGGCTCACCGCAACCTCTGCCTCCTGGGTTCAGGCAATTCTCCTGCCTCAGCCTCCCAAGTAGCTGGGATTACAGGCACGTGCCACCATGCCCAGCTAGTTTTTTGTATTTTTAGTAGAGACGGGGTTTCACCATGTTGACCAGGATGGTCTCGATCTCTTGACCTCGTGATCCACCCGCCTCAGCCTCCCAAAGTGCTGGGATTACAGGCTTGAGCCACTGCGCCCGGCCTAAAAATTTTTTAGAAATTAATTTTAAAAATTCTTTTTATTAGTTAGCAAGTGAAAAAGTCAGACCTCTAGGAGGCAGATATAAGAAGGGCTTCTTATCTCCACCGTCTGAGGGCCAGCAGAGATTTGAGACCTTCCACCCTCACACCCCACAAGCATGGTTTATTCCCACTGGAGCCTTTTAGACAGAACTAGCCACTGCCTCTCCGCTGAGGTGACCTGCCTCACGTGGTGCACTACACAAGATGTCAGAACGGCCGGGCACGGTGGCTCAGGCCTGTAATCCCAGCACTTTGGGAATCTGAGGCAGATAGATCACCTGAGGTCAGGAGTTCGAGACCAGCCTGGCCAATATGGTGAAACCCAGTCTCTACTAAAAATACAGAAATTAGCTGGGCATGGTAGCAGCCTTGTATAATCCCAGCTACTTGGGAGGCTGAGGCAGGAGAATCACTTGAACCTGGGAGGCAGAGGTTGCAGTGAGCCAAAGTTGCAGTGCACTCTTGTCGCCACTGCACTCCAGCCTGGGTGACAGGAATGAAACACCGTCTCAAAAAATAAATAAGTCAGAAGTATAGACAGACTCATCCACTATGGCTTTGCTTCCTTGTTTGGGTGGAACACCAAGAGGCAGGCTTCCATCCTTTTCTATGAAACTTCGAGTGCAAAGAATCAAGCCTAGAAAATGCTCACAACAGTTGCATGGATATAAAGCTGAAGGAATATGTCATACTTTGTTTTCTTGCATCTTCTGAATTGTCCCCTGTGAGTGGGGCAGCCCTGAGCATGCTCTCCAGGTCCTACATGTTCACATACTCAGGAAAACAGGTGGCTCAGAATGCCTCTGGTCTAGCCTCAGGATTGTCCAAGTGCCGCAAAGTTAACATAAAATCTAAATAATTGATGTGTGGGGTGAAATAAAAGAAACTAAAATTCTAGATGATCTAAATATATGAGGCACGAGGGGAAGGAGGAAAGTGGGTGTGCCAGGCCTTTGTCTTGTTTGACATGAGGATAGTTAGAGAGTAATTCTGGATATTGATATAAAATAAGAGTTTAGGTATGTGTGTTGATTAGCCACTAAAGGAACAGAAGTGGTGTCTGTAACTTCCATACTACTATAGAGGGAAAGAAGCAAAAACACAGGGATTGGAAAACACAGAGATGGGAAATTCCATAGCAGCTGAATGCTACCAGAAAGAAAGGAGGTAGAGAATTCTTCAGACAAAAAAGACTTCAAGGAGAACAGCATCAAAAGGAGCAAAAGGCCAGGCTCAGTGTCTCACACCTGTAATCCAGTACTTTGGGAGGCTGAGGCGGGCGGATCATGAGGTCAAGAGATCAAGACCATCTGGCCAACATAGTGAAACCCTGTCTCCAGGAAAATACAAAAATTAGCTGGGCATGGTGACTCATGCCTGTAGTCCCAGCTACTCAGGAGGTTGAGTCAGGAGAATTGCTTGAACTCAGGAGGCAGAGGTTGCAGTGAGCTGAGATGGCACCACTGCACTCCAGCCTGGTGACAGAGCAAGACTCTGTCTCAAAAAAAAAAAAAAAAAAAAAAAGCAAAAGAAGTTCGTAATAAAAGCACCATGAACGTACAGATTGTGAATCTTGGGGCCTGCACTACATAACTTTGAGCTATGTAAATAAGCAACCCTTACAAATTATTTAAGTCCAGGCCGGGCACAGTGGCTCACACCTGTAATCCCAGCTACTCAGGAGGCTAAAGCAGGAGAATCACTTGAACCTGGGAGACAGAGGTTGCAGTGAGCCGAGATCGTGCCATTGCACTCCAGCCTGAGCAACAGGGCGAGACTCCATTTCAAAAAAAAAAAAGAAAGCATTTATGTCCAGGGCTGGGCATGGTGGTTCATGCCTATAATCCCAAAACTGGGTGGCCGAGGTGGGTGGATTGCCTGAGATCAGGAGTTCAAGACCATCCTGGCCAATGTGGCAAAACCCCATCTCTACTAAAAATACAAAAATTAGCTGGATGTGGTGGCGGGCGCTTGTAATCCCAGCTACTTCAGAGGCTGAGACTGGAGAATCACTTGAATTCGGGAGGCAGAGATTGCAGTGAGCCAAGATCGTGCCGTTGCACTCCGGCCTGGGCAACAAGAGCGCAACTCCATCTCAAAAGCAAAATCATTTAAGTTCAAAACCATGATAAGAGGAATTGGATGAATCCAAAACCGTGGTAGGATAGGAGACATGAATGTTTCTCTGAGACAGGTAGATGATATAATTCAAATAAGGATGTGGAAGATTTTGTAACAGGGAACAAACAAGCATAAACAGAGACAATCTGCTAATATTTGCCGCACAGTTAATGACTGCTAGGCAGTTTTTATAGCACTTGCCTTATGCTGAAAAACTTGTAATGCAGGCGTCACAGCTGTATGATGAAGTAGCTGCTGCTGATCATTCTCCCTGTCTTAGAGATGGAGAAACTGAGACACAAAGGTTCCAAGCTAAGGAGTGGCTATGCTGAGATTTGAAGTCAGCAGACTGGCTTGTTGAGTGTTCTCTGTTCTTGATGTTATGTTCCGCTGGAACTTGGGGAGATGTATTTAAGACTGATGTGTCAGCCGGGCGCGGTGGCTCAAGCCTGTAATCCCAGCACTTTGGGAGGCCGAGGCGGGTGGATCACAAGGTCAAGAGATCGAGACCATCCTGGTCAACATGGTGAAACCCCGTCTCTACTAAAAAAATACAAAAAATTAGCTGGGCATGGCGGCGTGTGCCTGTAATCCCAGCTACTCAGGAGGCTGAGGCAGGAGAATTGCCTGAACCCAGGAGGCGGAGGTTGCGGTGAGCCGAGATCGCGCCATTGCACTCCAGCCTGGGTAACAAGAGCGAAAACTCCGTCTCAAAAAAAAAAAAAAAAAAAAAGACTGATGTGTCTCCCTCGGACTGCACTTGGCATCAGAACCATCCAGGGACAAGGAAAGCCATCAGAGCCATGAGTGACTGGGGCAGTCAGATCACCTGGCCCTGATTTCATGCTCTGCCCTTGATGCAGAGTTGCCTTGCTGGCACTGTGTTGGACTGGAGAGCCAGAGCGCCCATGTTGGTTAGCATTCTCTTAATTGAGCACTATTGCTTGTGAGGGCCTGATCTTGCAAGATGCCACTGTCAGCCCAACAGAGGGTCAGGGCAGCAGTGGAGCCAGTCCTTAGTCTGTTTTCTGAGGCCGAGCCAGACTGCAGCTAACAGTGTCAGCAGGAGCTTGTGTACGGAGCTGCCTGCCAGGGAAATGCCACATTACACAGGGCTGCCAACGATGTGGCCACCTCACTTCCAGTTGGCTTGTCACTGGTAATCTGGAACTTCATCAGATAACTAATATGTCACTACTTAATATCTGACAATCTGAAAGCCACCTGAAATACTGCCATACTTACTAAGCAATATTTACTCTTCTTAACACAGACTGAAAGCAAACATTCACAAAAGTCTGTTATGTTTTTTGTGGGATGGTTTATTTATTTATTTATTTATTTATTTTTAAAGAGATGGGTTTCCATATCCAGAGTAACTATAATAATTAAACAAAAAAAGAGATGGGGTTTCGCCATGTTGCCCAGGCTGGTCTTGAACTTATGGGCTCAAGAGACCCACCTGCCTCAGCCTCCCAAAGTGCTAGGATTACAAGCATGAGCCACCACACCCAACTTAAAAGTTTGTTATATATGAAATCACAAAATCACAGCACACCCAGGAAACTCACATGGGCCAAATTATGCTAATACAGCAAACTAGAAACAAGCAACAACCAAAATAAAACATGCTTCTGAATAACTTGAGTGAAGGGTAATCAGAACTGAAATTAGAAACAATTTAGAAGGAAGTGGCAAGAACAGTACTATATACCAGATGTGGCCATAAAAATACTGAAGAGAAAAAGAGTGACTTCAGGTGAATTTATTAGAAATAAAGTGTGGGCCAGGTGCAGTGGCTCCCACCTGTAATCCCAGCACTTTGGGAGGCTCAGGCGGGTGGCTAGCTTGAACTCAGGAGTTGGAGATCAGCCTAGGCAACATGGTGAAATGTCCTCTCAACCAAAATTAGCTAGGCGTGGTGGTGCGCACCTGTAGTCCCAGCTACTGGGGAGGCTGAGGTGGAAGGATCACCTGAGCCCAGGAGGTCGAGGCTGCAAGTGAGCTGTAATCATGCCACTGCACTCCAGCTTGGGCAACAGAGTGAGATCCTGTCTTAAAAAAAAAAAAAGTGGAAGTAAAAAACATTCAATTCATGAAGCTAGAAGGAAAATAATGAAAAAAGTGTAGACCCTAGAAGTAGAAGGATTTTTATTTTTTAAGACAGGGTCTTGGTCTGTTGCCCGGACTAGAGTGCAATGGCGCAGACAGCTCACCACAGTCTCGACTTCCTGGGCTCAAGTGATCCTCCCACCTCAGCCTCCCAGTAGCTGGGACTACAGGCATGCACCACCACCCGGGCTAATTTTTTTTATTTTGTGGAGCTGGGATCTCATCTTGTTGCCCAGGCTGATCTTGAACTCCTGGGCTCAAGCAGTCCTCCTGCCTCAGCTTCTCAAAGTGGAGCCCAGCTGAATATTTTTCTATGTTAGTACATGTTGCTCAACCTTCTCTGTACTGTTCTTATGATGACTGGATCTTAAGATTTCACACCTGGGATACAGGCTCTTTGGTTAATGTTCTCTTGTGGGTCACATCACACTTGCCTTGATGCAGTCAAAAGCTCACCGAGCACTTGTCCTGACTGGGCCACTTGTAAGGTGACAGTTTTACCTGCCAGGGTACTGTTGCTCCAAGGTGACTGGTTTGTGTTTCCAGGCCATCATGAGCTGTGAGCTCCCTCATGGCTGCTGCCAGAAGTGAAGGAGGAACTCGGTTCAGACTCCCGATTGCCCTGCAGTCACTCTTAGCATGGCAGCTGTCTTGGGCCTGGTTCCATGTCCTCAGTAGAGCCTGGCAGAGCCTCTCAGCAGAGGACAATGAGGAGCTGGCCACTTAGAAAGGGTCTGTGTTTGCAGCAACAATTTGGGGTCTGGTGGTGTTTTCATAAATGTCCTGTTATGTTTTGTTATGTAGGTTTTTGTCTGATGAAAATAGCCTGGAGTATAAATACTACAAGCTGAAGTTGGCAGAAATGCAGCGGATGAGCCACAACTTGCGAGGAGCCGACCAGAAGCCGACCTCGGCAGAAGTGCGCGGTGCGAGCCATGCTGTATGCCCGGGCTGTTCGCAACCTCAAGAAGAAACTGCTGCCATGGCAGCGGCGGGGGCTCCTCCGTCCTCAAGGTCTCAGGGGTTGGAAGGCGAGGAGAGCGACCACTGGGACCCAGACTCTCCTATCCTCAGGAACCAGGCTGAAACACCACAGCCGGCAGGCTCCAGGCCTCTCGCAGGCAAAGCCATCCCTGCGAGACAGAAATGATGCTGCCAAGGATTGCCCTCCAGACCCAGCCAGACCCTCTCCTCAGGACCCCAGCGCAGAAGCCTCAGGCCCATCCCCCAAGCTAGCAGGAGTGGACATCTCTGCAGCACCTCAGACCTCTTCTCCCTGCCCATCTGCTGACAGTGGGTGCTCACTCCTGTCTCCCTTCTCTGGGCCCCAGTCCCAACTCTCCCGTCTCCAGGGTCTCTCTAGAATTGGGGGGCCTGCAATCAGGGCCAGGGAGTAGGCGAAAGCTCCAGGGACCTGGCCAGGACGGGTGCACATGTCGGCACTTTTCTCGAGAGAGCTGCATGCGAGTCCTGCAGCCCCGTCCTACTCTTCTGAGAGCGGAGCAGGCACGAGGTGCTGCCCCATGCCTCTGTGTCCCCGACTGCTGCCGCATGCCTCTGTGCTCCCTGACAGGGTCCTGTAGCTGGGGCCTGTGGGTTCTGCATTGCCTGAGCTTGGGATCTCCTGTTCTACGACAGTTCTCAGGGCTGCCTTATTCTCTCATTCTGCCTCATCCCTCGGGTCTCCACAGTTCCTGTTCTTGGGGTTCACTGACCTGCATCATTTTCTCTGAATCAACTAACTTCGCCCCTTGTTTCTTCTGTCACCTTAGCTGTTCCCTTCTCTCTGTACCACAGGCCTGCTCTCTGGCCAGTGCTTATTCAGCCCTAAGTGGGTATGAAGAGGGCAAAAAATGCCTACAACTGCTGTGTTCTCTTTTTTTTTTTTTTTTTTTTTTTTTTTTTTTTTTTTGAGATGGAGTCTCACATTGTCGCCTGGGCTGGAGAGCAGTGGCAAGATCTCAGCTCACTGCAACCTCCGTCTCCAGGTTCAAGTGATTCTCCTGCCTAAGCCTCCCGAGTAGCTGGGATTACAGGCGCCCCCCACCATGCCCAGCTGTTTTATTTGTTTCTTTCTTTTTTGAGACGGAGTCTTGCTCTATTGCCAGGCTGGAGTGCAGTGGCACAGTCTCGGCTCACTGCAGCCTCCGCCTCCCAGGTTCAAACGATTCTCCTACCTCAGCCTCCCAAGTAGCTGGAATTACAGGCACACACCACCATGCCCAGCTAATTTTTGTATTTTTAGTAGAGATGAGGTTTCACCATATTGGCCAGGATGGTCTCAATCTCCTGATCTCATGATCTACTCATCTCAGCCTCCCGAAGTTGTGGGATTACAGGCGTGAGCCACCGCGCCCAGCTAACTGCTGCATTCTCTAGGTGTTGCTGTGTAATGAGTCATTCCAAACTGTGGTTTAAAATAGGAGGCATCCGCCAGGCACAGTGGTTCACGCCAGTAACTCCAGCACTTTCGGAGGCTGAGCTGTATGGATGGATCAAGTCAGGAGTTCAAGACCAGCCTGGCCAACATGATGAAACCCCAGTCTCTCCTAAAAATACAAAAAAAAAAAAAAAGTAGCCAGGTGTGGTGGCACATGCCTGTAGTTCCAGCTACTCAGGAGACTGAGGCAGGAAAATCGCTTGAATCTGGGAGGCGGAGGTTGCAGTGAGCCGAGATCCCACCGCTGCACTCCAGCCTGGGTGACAGAGCAAGACTCCACCTCAAATAAAAAAAAAAAAAAAAAAAAAAAAACAGGAGGCATATTGTGAATCTGCCAGTGGCTGGGCCGTCTGCTGAGCTAGCCCGCGCGTGTGTCTGTGGTCAGCGGCACGTGTCCCAGCTGTCCACTGAGATGATAGTATGGCTGGGCATGTGCCTGTCATCCCCTCAGCAGCCAGCCCACGTTTGTTCACCTGGCAGTTGGGTTCAGGGCCCAGGCTTGGAACTGGCAACTGGCTTTTTCCACCACATTCTATAGCCTGTGCGAGTCCCAGGACCAGTGCTGATTTAAGGTGGGGGGAAATACACAGAGTTCACTTCTTGGTGATAAGGAGTCCGCATGTGGCGAAGGACGAGGCTCCAGGGAGGGGACACACAGGCCATCTTTATAATCTGCCTCCGCGACCTGCAGTGTTCTCACGGGGAGCAGCAGCTCAGGAGTGATGCCTGACAGACGCTTTATGTTTTGTAGTTGATATGAAGACATTGGAGACTGCAGAGAAACTGGCTAGATTTGTTGCTCAGGTGGGACCAGAGATCGAGCAATTCAGCATAGAAAACAGCACCGATAACCCTGACCTGTGGTACGTACCCCCTGGGTCTCTTCACACTCTTCTTTGTCAAGAGACAAGGTCTAAGTATGTTGCTCAGGCTGGATTCAAATTCCTGAGCTCAAGTGATCCTCTTGTTTCAGCCTCCAGAGTAGCTGGGACCACAGGTATACTCCACTGCAACTGCCCATTATACCCTTTAGATGTGAGTGTGTTCACCCCACAGCACGTGCTGAGAGCCAGCCCACAGCCTGGCCAGTGCATTCCTGCCATGGGGGTTACACCAGGAGTAAGTCACGACTTCATTTCAGCTGAGCCAGGGGCCTGAGGGAGAAAAATCTGTTCTGATCACCTGAGGTCAGGAGTTCGAGACCAGCCTGGCCAACATGGTAAAACCTTGTCTCTAATAAAAATACAAAAATTAGCTAGGCATGGTGGTGGGCACTTGTAATCACAGCTGCTCAGGAGGCTAAGGCATGAGAATCACTTGAACCTGGGAGGCAGAGGTTTCAGTGAGCTGAGATTGAGCCACTGTGCTCTAGCCTGGGCAACAGAGCGAGGATTCAACTCAAAAAAAAAAAAAAAATCAGGTTCTAGGGGACCTGCCTTCATCTGCTGCATCAGGAAAAGCCTCCCCAGAGGGACATTTAATCTGCATCCAAAGGCTAAATAGGAGTTGGCCAGGGGAGTGGGGAGAGGTGAGGATTTGCTGTTTACTGCATGTAGTGGTGATAGCACTACCACTACTGGACAGCAGGCACTTCTAAACAGGGATGATGTGGTGTGCGCATGCTGGGAGCAGGTGCCTTTGCCCTCTGCATTCCTCAGACATGTAGAGCTCGGCTCAAAAGCACACACCCTGTAGGTGAGAAAACCTGAGCTGAGAGTCAGCACTGTCCCTGGGGCACTTCCCTAGGGTGATATGAGCCGCCCCCTCCAGAGAGGGGTGGGAGGCACCCATCTCCCCATTACTGAGCCAGTAATGCGGGGGCTTTTGACTCTTGGTGCTGGTCCCAGCTTGCTAGACAGTCATTCCTTCGTCCAGTAAAAAACACAGTTGAAAACGTGCATTTCTCAGAGCATTTATGGGATTCAGTGGTGATGGAACACACTCTTTCAACTTGTTTGGGACCTGACTGCATGAGCCGAGCCCTACTCCCCTCTGTAGCCTTGGCTTATGACTGGGTCCTGCACTGAGGTACCACCTGCCTTGTGGGACACTGACCACCTACAGATGGGAGGCCTGGGCAGGGTGGCCTTGGGAAGCTGCTAGGCCGCATAGACGTCAGGGTCAGGCCTGTCCACTGAGTGTGTTCTCTCACCCTGGCAGGGTTGGATAAGGGGGACAGCTCAATGCAGGGCAGCTGGGAGCATCTCATGAGACTTTTCTCATTTTCATTTTCTTTTTTTTCAATAAAAAGTACAGTTTAAAGGAGAACTTTGCATTAGCCTGGGTACTTGGGCTCTAGTACTTGTTTGGTTTTGGGTGCCTCACCATCTGGGACAGCCTTTTCTGAGCAGTGTTCTTCAGAGTGCTCTGTCCTGTCCTTCCCCAGACAGAGAGCCCTGGATCCTGACCACGATATTTGGCAGGGTGGTGGACACTATCCAGCCAAGCTTGTAAATGAGCCAAGATGACTTTGTGTTTCTTTTGCCTTTAGAAAAATTTTACTTCTGGCTGGGCATGGTGGCTCATACCTGTAATCCCGGCACTTTGGGAGGCTGAAGCAGGTGGATCACAAGGTCAGGAGTTCAAGACCAGCCTGGCCAAGATGGTGAAACCCCGTCTCTACTAAATATACAAAAATTAGCCAGGCCTGGTGGCGGCCACCTGTAATCCAGCTACTCAGAGGTTGAGGCAGACAATTGCTTGAACCCGAGAGGCAGAGGTTGCAGTGAGCCAGGATTGCGCCACTGCACTCCAGCCTGGGTGACAGAGTGAAAAAAAAAAAAAAAGACACAAAAAAAGAAAAATTTTACTTCTAATGTGCTCAAGTTCAATGAGCTAATTCATTTTGTGGGTATGGTTATAAGTTGTCTTACAATCAGATTTATTTTATTTATTTTCGAGATGGAATTTTACTCTGTGAAGTGGTATGATCTTGGCTCACTGCAACCTCCGTCTTTCGAGTTCAAGCAAATCTCCTGCTTCAGACTTACAAGTAGCTTGGATTACAGGTGTCGCCCTACTAATTTTTGTATTTTTACTAGAGATGGGTTTTGCCATGTTGGCCAGTCTAGTCTCGAACTCCTGACCTCAGGTGATCCGCCTGCCTTGGCCTCCCAAAGTGTGCTGAGATACAGGCATGAGCCACCATGTCTGGCCCAGATTCATTTGTTTCTGCTGATATTTAGCGGGGGGTGTGTTTGTGTATGTGCGTGCACGGTATAGTGGCATTTGCCTGTAGTCACAGCTACTTGGAATCCTGAGGTAGGAAGATTTCTTGAGCCCCGGAGTTTGAGGCTGCAGTAAGCTGTGTGATCACACCACTGCACTCTAGCCTGGATGACAGAGTGAGACCCCGTCCCTAAAAATACATAATAATAAATAATTATAAAGCTGTCCCACTGTTCCAATACTATTCTTTGAAAGACCACCCCCTTTTCACAGTAGAAGCCACCTTAATCAAATCCTGGCTCTCTGGTCTTTCTTTCTTTTTTTTCTATTTTAAGATTGCATTTAGCTCTTGTTACCCAGGCTGGAGTGCAATGGCACAATCTCGGCTCACCTCAACCTCTACCTCTTGATGAATTGCCTTACAAGAGCCATTTTTCCTTCGTTGCCTTCAAGACTGTTTTAAGTTTCTCATACCAGCCACAGCTCCATAGCTGTGGTTACCAGACGAGTTGACCACCAGACCCCTGAGGCATAGAAAGGCCTCATCTCCACACCCATGTAGCTGGACTGCAGGACCCTGTGTGGAAACTGCTATGGGCGATGAGCCCTCCTCTGGGGGCTGCTCACAGCTCCATGTGCATATGTTCCGACAGTAACTGTGCAGCCTCTCCTGTCATCTCTCCATGCCTCTCATACCTAGGAGTAACCAGAGTCAAAATGGGTACTTGGAGGCCAAGAGAGGCCAGTAAAGTAACCAGAAAGGGTGATGTGGGGCTCAGGCCAGGTCTCTGTTCCATCCTTTTCCCAGGCCCTGCATACCTTGTTCGTCCACCTTCTTCCCCTGGAGAACAGTGAGGCCTCTCCAATTCTGGTTCCTTATTAAGTTACTAGTACTCCTCAAATTTTCTATCATTGAGAGACTGCACCATCAAGCCATAGCTGCACAGAAAGAAGTCAGGTGATTCTTTCCCTTGTCCCACCTCCACCTTCCTTGGATTAGGGCCAGCAGTTTCAGCAAATAAAAATGTTGAACAATTCCATCTGGTTACCCAGTGTATTTCCTCTGTGCCCCAGGTTTCTACATGACCAAAATAGTTCTGCCTTCAAATTCTATCGAAAGAAAGTGTTTGAACTATGTCCATCGATTTGTTTCACGTCATCTCCACACAACCTTCACACCAGTGGCCGTGACACCACAGGTTCTCAGGAGAGCCCGATGGACCTCATGGAAGGGGAAGGAGAGTTTGAAGGTGAGCCCCCTCCTCGGGGGGCTGAGCTGGAAAGCCTAGAGGTAATGCCTGAGGAGGAGGAGGAGGAGGACGACGAGGATGGCGGAGAGGAGGCCCCTGCTCCTGGAGGGGCGGGCAAGTCTGGGGACAGCACCCCTGCTGACGGCCTTCCCATCGAGGCTGCCGAGGATGACCTGGCTGGAGCACCTGCCCTGTCACAGGCCTCCGCAGGTACCTGCTTCCCCCGGAAGAGGATCAGCAGCAAGTCATTGAAGGTTGGCATGATTCCAGCTCCCAAGAGAGTGTGTCTCATCCAGGAGCCGAAAGGTGAGTGCCTGCCTGTTGGCACAGCTGCCTCCAGCACAGTTCTTGGTTAGTGGGCTATGAGAGTTAGAGGAGACAGGTGGAGACATTGTAATCCAAAAGAATTTTGTGCACCACTCCAAAATGTGAACAGAGACTCCTGTTTCCTGGTGGTCTGAAGGCATTGCTCTAAGGCAGGTGTCCCCAAATTTTTTACACAGGGGGCCAGTTCACTGTCCCTCAGACCGTTGGAAGGCCGCCACATACTGTGCTCCTCTCACTGACCACCAGTGAAAGAGGTGCCCCTTCCTGAAGTGTGGCGGGGGGCCGGATAAATGGCCTCAGGGGGCTGCATGCAGCCCGCGGGCCGTAGTTTGGGGACGCCTGCTCTGAGATGTTTTCTGGCTACCCTGTGGCTTCTGGCACTCTCTGTGCTGCTGGGCATTTCCCTGATTGAATTCAGATTGGGGCAACCCTGACCGTAGAGGGGATGGATCTGGGTCATCTCAGCTGTTTTCCTGCCCTTGACCTTCTCTGTTGGGGGGCCTTCTGAGCCCCTGGAAGGCCCAGGGTGCTGATAACCTGCTTCATGTCATGACAGTGAGATGGGGACACAGCAAGGCTGGTCCCAGGCAGTGGTCAGTAGGACCTGCCTTGGCTGTGGGAGGCCATCTCCTGCTCTCCTGTGGAGAGGTTCCAGGTTCTTGAGGTGTAATTTACCAGCAGTGAAACACACCCTTTTCAAGTGGACCATTTGAGTTTTGTTGACTTTGCAGAGGTGAGAATCCACCAGTACAGCAGAGCTGGAGCCTGTTCCCAGAAACAGTCTCTTGTCCCATTGCAGTCCCATTGCAATCCCCTGCCCCATTCGGCCCCAGAACCACTGACTGTTTTCCCAGCCCCAGGTGTTCTGCCTTTCCTAGGATGTCAGTACATGGAATTGCATTTCATGTGGCCATTTGATGGGCAGGCCATGGCCCAGGTGACTCCTGTGCCCCCGCCCCTGCCCAATACCCTCCAAGCTATCTCCCCACTGTCAGGCCTGGGCCTTGCTTCTCACAAGGAACTGCTGCTGCAAAACCTGTGTGTCAAGTTGTAGTGAATGGTGCCCTATTGTGGGACTGTTAGGCAGTCACCTGTGTTCTGCATCATTCAAACGGTCACATCTACAGGCGACAGTGGCCTTACGGTTTCTCCTGCTTTGGAACAGTCCTCATGTTTGTTTGTTTGTTTTTATTTTTTTTTTGAGACAGGGTTTCACCATGTTGGTCAGGCTGGTCTTGAACTCCCAACCTCAGGTGATCCGCCCACCTTGGCCTCCAAAGTGCTTGGATTACAGGCGTGAGCCACCACGCCCGGCCAGTCCTCATGTTTTGTGTTTGAAAACCTTGGTATTGCAGGGAAATGCTAACCATTCTACTGTAATCCTTACCATCCTTCAAAACTTCTCACGGGGCTGGGCACGGTGGCTCATGCCTGTAATGCCAGCTTTGGAAGGCTGAGGCAGGAGTATCGCTTGAGCCCAGGAGTTTGAGACCAGCCTGGGCAAGATGACCAGACCCGGTCTTTACAAGGAAAAAAGAAAATTAATATAAAAAGATGAAGTAAATAACTAAACTTGTCATGGATGGCAGGTAATTTATCAGAGTACTTGTTATGTATGTTCTTCTTGGGGGAAAGTGGAGTTCTTTATTTCTGTTTTGGGAGTTCTCAGTTCTTTGGGTAGTTGATGAGATAAAACCAGACTTGCTAATCTCCCTTTCATAAAAAATAAAATGATGTGATTTGGTCCTCTGTATGAGAAGCATGGATGTTTTTTACTAGAAAGTTTTAGGATTTAATTCTGTACCAGGATTAGCTACAGATAAACTAGGAGGGCTTAGCATCACAAATTTTTTGTTTGTTGAAGCAAAATATATTTCTGTAGTCATGGAAGATAATCCATGTATTGGATCTTTTGTTATAAATGTGGGGACTCTTAGGTTTGAATAGACTTTCCTGAAGTGAGGCACCCCTAAGTGAGCCCTTCACTATGGCCCAGGCTGCCTAACCCAGGCGTGTCCTGCCTCTGCTCACTCTGGGGGTCATATATGTTCATTTCTAAGAGAAGCTGGAGCTCAGCAGCTGCCATGCAGGGCCTAAGACACCTTCTGTCATCAGAGAACTGTCAGCCAAAATAGACCGCAAGACCTTCAGTCTCTAAGTAATTTAGGGAAAGCACGTGGGTGTGTGTGTCTCTTCCTTTTGTCTTCTAGTCCATGAACCAGTTCGAATTGCCTATGACAGGCCTCGGGGTCGTCCCATGTCCAAAAAGAAGGTGAGCTTAATCATTTGTAGTCCTCACTCAAAGTATGGTTGGTTAGAATTTGTTGGAGTTCTGAAGGATGCTGCAGTTTGTGATTAGGCTATGTTCACATTTCAAACTGAGGTATTAATATGTAAAACAACAGAGACTTTTTTTTCTCTTGGGAGGATTGTTTTATTATTTTTTTTGAGACAGAGTCTTGCTCTGTCACCCAGGCTGGAGTGCAGTAGTGTGATCTTGGCTTACCACAACCTCCCCCTCCTGGGTTCAAGCAGTTCTCCTGACTCAGCCTCCCAAGGAGCTGGGACTACAGAAGCATGCCACCATGCCCAGCTAATTTTTCTGTATTTTTAGTAGAGACAGGGTTTCACCACATTAACCAGGATGGTCTCCATCTCCTGACCTCGTGATCTGCCCACCTCAGCCTCACAAAGTGCTGGGATTATAGGCATGAGCCACCGCGCCTGGCCTTGGGAGGACTTTTAACAACTGTTTTGCCTTTGTCCAAAGCATAGACTAGTGATTCGCCTGTGTAATGGTAGGTGAAATCCCTGCAATGGATGCAGTGGGATTTGAGAAATAAAGGAGATAATGTCTTGGCCCTTAAGAATTTCAAGCTAAGGCTGACTGGGTGGCTCGCACCTGTGATCCCAGCAGTTTGGGAGGCCGAAGTGGGCAGATTGCTTGAGCCCAAGAGTTTAAGACCAGCTTGGGCAAGAGGCTGTCTCTGTCCCCACCCCCAAGAAAAAAACCTGTCTCTGCAAAAAAACAACAAAAAAAACAAACAAAAATTAGTTGGGCATGGTGGCACATGCCTGTAGTCCCAACTACTCTGGAGACTGAGGTGGGAGGATCACTTGGGCCTGAGAGATTGAGGCTGCAGTGAACTGATTGGACCTTTGCGCCCCAGCTTCGGCGACAGAGTGAGACCCTGTCTCAAAAAAAAAAAAGTTCAAGTTGTCCAGGCACACTGATTCATGCCTGTAATCCCAGTGCTTTGGGAGACCAAGATGGGATCACTTGAGCCCAGGAGTGTGAGGCCAGCCTGGGCAACATAGTGAGACCTATGTTTCCTCCTGGTCTCCTTAAAAAATAAAACATAGCCGGGCGCGGTGGCTCAAGCCTGTAATCCCAGCACTTTGGGAGGCCGAGGCGGGTGGATCACGAGGTCGAGAGATCGAGACCATCCTGGTCAACATGGTGAAACCCCGTCTCTACTAAAGGTGCAAAAAATTAGCTGGGCATGGTGGCGTGTGCCTGTAATCCCAGCTACTTAGGAGGCTGAGGCAGGAGAATTGCCTGAGCCCGGGAGGCGGAGGTTGCGGTGAGCCGAGATCGCGCCATTGCACTCCAGCCTGGGTAACAAGAGCGAAACTCCGTCTCAAAAAAAAAAAAAAAAAAAAAAAAAAAAAAAAAAAAAAAACATAAAAATTACAGGCATGAAGGCTCATGCCTGTAATCCTAGCACTTTGGGAGGCCAAGGTGGGTGGATCACCTGAGGTCAAGAGTTCGGGACCAGCCTGGACAACATGGGGAAACCCTATCTCTACTAAAAATACGAAAATAGCCAGGCATGGTGGCATGTGCCTATAATCCCAGCTACTCTGGAGGCTGAGGCAGGAGAATCACTTGAACCCAGGTAGCAGAGATCGCACTACTTCACTCCAATCTGAGTGAAAGAGTGAAACTTCATCTCAAAAAAAGTTCAAGCTTAGTAGACTGGAAGTATGAAGAGTGTGCTAATCTGGTAGTAAGCAGAGCGTGGTGTGTGCTGTCAGCCCATCCTGTGCCAGGCCCTGACTGTCCACCTGGAGGCAGCAGCGAGCAGGGCCAACATCGAAAGAGAAGCGGACGAGGCAGTCCCAGAGGGTACAGTGGGCAAAAAGAAGCAGGTCACGGAGAGGGAGCATAAGGTAGCATCGAGCGGATGCCACTGAAATGGGAAAGCCAAGGAAGGTCTCTCTGGCAGGTGATGTTGGCACAGGTATGGAGGAGCTCAGGAGAAGCAATATAGCGATCTGGGAAAGGCAGTGCCTCAGCTAAGAGCTGGGGCAGCAAGAGTTCTTGCAGCAGGAATGGAATCGGAGGGTCACACAGGACCTCAACAGATGTTAATGCTGTGGCCCTTTCTCAAGGAAGGGAAGGTCCCTCTGGGACCTGTGGTGGACATGGCCACTAGGGTGGAGAGCAGCCTGTGAGCGGGGACCAGGAGGGGGCTCAAACTTAAGACAGTTGGACCAGGGCATGAGGAGCAACAAGAATGGGTGAAGGTGGAGTGGGTGACACCTGCTTGTGGACTGGGTGTGCAAAAGCCAGGAGTCCAGGTGACCCCAGGGTAGTCAGCTTGGGCAGTAGAGGGACAGAACTGCCATTCACTCACCTGGAGGCAGGTTATGGGAGTGGGGAGGGTAGACTCCAGGGGGCTGGGGAGACACAGTGCTGGGGGCAGGCAAGGTCACCTGGGACACAGGTCGAGAGACTTCACCAATCCTTTGTGGTCAGGGAGGAGGGCGGGGAGCCAAGGGAAGTCGCTCTGCTGGTGTCAGGCAGTGCCATGGTGCTTCAGACCCCTTCTGAATGCTCTAGGTCAGTCTGACCCCGATTATGGCAGGAAGGAGGGACCTTCCGGAGTCCAGAGCTCATGGTCCTGACTGGTGTGCCAAGTTTTAGGCTGAGCTGGCATCTGGTGCCCCTTTGTGTGGCCTGGATGAGGGCACGGCCAGGTGAGGGCATAGCAGGGCCTTGGTGTCAGGCACAGCTGTACTCTAGCTCAGCCCTGCCACCTAAGTAGTTTTGTAACCTTGGCATGTAACTTCTACGGGCTTGTCTGTAAAATGGGATGGCCACACCTACCCAGCAGGTAGGAGATACGGTGAGGATTAAACTTAAGGAGGTTCCTAGCGGGTTTCCTGCACATGCTGCTGTCTCCTTGGGGCTCTGCGCCTGTGCTCCTTCCTGCCAGTGGCTGCAGTTGGAAGGGAGGCTGTGGTGGCTGCACCTCTCCTCTGCACACCTCGGGCTCGGCTTTTCTCCAGCTGTCCAGGAAACTCACATCATGATTGTTAAACACAGATTTGAACATTCTCAAAGAAACTTCCAGGCTGAGCCAACCCCTCTTCCTCCCGCTGCACCTCCAAGCAGCCTTCCTGAAAGGGAAAGGAGTGCAGACCTCCCATTTGGGGACCCCCGTGCCCCTCCATGACCAGCCTTTCCCCTGCCTTCCCTACCCTTCATCCAGGGCCCAAGCCGTGCACAGCTCCCAGGAGGGCCTGACAGATGCCCTGTTTCTCATCTCAGCCAGTGGGTTCTGTCTCCTTTTCTGCAGGCCACTCTCTCATGGCAGGCGGGGGGGCCCGGTGTAGCAGGTCCTGCTCGCAGAGGTTTCTCTGTACTGCTTCTGCTCCTCTTCCTGCCCCAGCCCGTAGCATAGCTCCTCCTGTCATGCCTCCCCTCAACTGCCCTGCAGAGAAACTTCTGCCCACACTGCCTCACCAAGACCACCTCGTGCCAGTACGGAGGAGCCGCCTGCCTCCAGTAACTCACTCTCACACACACAAGATACAGTCATGTGCAGGCATATGCTCACACACACACACACACACACACACACACACAGAGCTACTTTTTTTTTTTTTTTTTTTTTTTTTTTTTTGAGACGGAGTTTCTCTCTTGTTACCCAGACTGGAGTGCAATGGTGCGATCTCGGCTCACCGCAGCCTCTGCCTCCTGGGTTCAGGCAATTCTCCTGCCTCAGCCTCCTGAGTAGCTGGGATTACAGGCGCACGCCACCATGCCCAGCTAATTTTTGTATTTTTAGTAGAGACGGGGTTTCCCCATGTTGACCAGGAAGGTCTCGATCTCTTGACCTCGTGATCCACCCGCCTCGGCCTCCCAAAGTGCTGGGATTACAGGCGTGAGCCACCGCGCCTGGTCTAGAGCTACTTTATATAATACCTTCACAGATGCCTCGGAAGAGAACAAAGGGAATTTCCCTCCCCCTCTGAAGGTCCAAGTCTAAGCTTGTTGAAAAGAATTGACAGGCCGGGTGCGGTGGCTCACGCCTGTAATCCAAGCACTTTGGAGGCCAAGGCTGGTGGATAACCTGAGGTTGGGAGTTCAAGACCAGCCTGACCAACATGGTGAAACCCCATCTTTAAAAAAAAAAAAAAAGAAAAGAATTGACAATAGGCACATTAACAGGATTAAAAAAAGGTATACAGTCCAGGTGTGGTGGCTCACACCTGTAATCCTGGGACTTTGGAAGGCAGACGCAGGAGGATCACTTGAGCCTGGAAGTTCAAGACTGCAGTGAGCCATGATAGGGCCACCGCACTCCAGCCTAGGTGACAGAGCAAGACCCTGTCTCAAAAAAAAAAAAAAAAGAGTTATACATATTTATTCATGTGCGTGAGCACAGGAGCCATTTAAACATGAAAACTCAAAGAAGGGCCAGGTGGTTGAAGCTGAAATACCTCTTCACAGGGGAGAGGGCGGTTGGGAGGCTGGAGGCGACTTTAGAGGGGAAGCAGATGATTTTAGGAGAGATGAATGGAGGCAGGCGTCATCTTGTGAATGATTCTCATTGAGAACTGAGTGGGACTAGAGAACAGCCGGCGGTCCGGGCTCTGGGTGTAGTGTTTAATGTTGCGTCTCTTCCTGTGTGAGAGGAGTTTTCAACTCTGGTTAATGATATATCAGGGAAGGGATCCAAGGCCCTTGGGTTCTCTTTGGCGGGTCCAGGTCCTAGGTAGATAGGGAACTGCAGGAGAACAGCTTCCTCCTGTGCTTTGGAAGGGACGGAGACAGGAAGGAGGTCAGAGGGACCCTGAGGCTGCCGCTTTAGTCCCACATGTCAAAGTGACATATTTCGGGGTATCCGTTTCTGACCCCCTACATCTTGCTGCACATCGAGCTCTCAGCACCTTTCCAGATTGTTTTGTCCCTTTCTAGGGTGAGAACACTGAGGCCCCAGGAGCTCCAGGGGCCCAGGCCTTCCTGATGGGAGTACTTGCTCCCTCCTCCCTCCCTCCCGAAATGAGGCCCTGCACTCTCCCTTCTCCCTTTCCTCTCTCAGCCCCTGGCTCCCACAGGCTCAGCCTTTTCTGCCTTGTCTCCAAGTTCCTTTGTCTCTGGAGTGCCTCCTCCATGTACCCCTGATGTTAGGGAAGCCGATTCCTGGGCACCTCCGTGCAGATGGCAAGAGGGAGATTTGTCTTTTGGTTGACTTGCACCTCATAAGGCCTGCATGACATAATGGGGCAGGTCACTAAGCCAATGAGGGTTGGCTGCCCAAGGACCTGAGTGCTCACAGCACTCAGCACGCCCTTCCCCTGCTTCCCATGCCCAGGGTCATCTAATCCTCTCCCAGCCTCTCCCACCTGTACCCTGCTCAGACCCCCAGCACCAGCCACCTTGATCTTCAGCACCTTTCTCCCTTCTTCTCAAGAGCACATGAGCCCTCGCAGCCTCCCCGGGTAGTTCAGTAAATGCTGTAAAGAAATGTATCAGCCAGGCACAGTGGCTCACACTTGTAATCACAGCACTTTGGGAGGCTGAGGTGGGCAGATCAGCCAAGGTCAGGAGTTCGGGACCAGCCTGGCCAACATAGTAAAGTGCCGTATTTTGGGGTATCAGGCTCTGACCCCTTACGTCTTGCTGAATGTCAAGCTCTCAGCATCTCTCCATGTTGTTTTGTCCCTTTCTAAGGTGAGAACACTGAGGTCACAGGAGCTTCAGGGCCCCAGGCCTTCCTCATGTGAGCACTTGCTCCCTCCTCCCTTCCTCCCTCCCTCTGGCTAAAAATACAAAAGTTAGCCAGGCGTGGTGGTGCATGTCTGTAATCCCAGCTACCCGGGAGGCTGAGGCAGAAGAATCGCTTGAACCCAGGAGGTGGAGGTTACAGTGAGCCAAGATTGTACCACTGCACTCCAGCCTGGGCAACAGAGTGAGACTCCATCTTAAAAAAAAAAAAAAAAAAAAAAAAAAAAAAAAATTGCCAGGCGTGGTGGCTCATGCCTGTAATCCCAGCACTTTGGGAGGCTGAGGCAGATGGATCACAAGGTCAGGAGCGCAAGACCAGCCTGACCAACATGGTAAAACCCCGTCTCTACTAAAAATACAAAAATTAGCCGGGCATGGTAGTTGGGCGCCTATAATCCCAGCTACTCAGGAGGCCTCAGGCAGGAGAATTGCTTGAATCCAGGAGGCAGAGGTTGCAGTGAGCTGAGATAGCGCCATTGCACTCCAGCCTGGGCAACAGAGTGAGACTCCATCTCAAAAAAAAAGAAAAAGGGAAAAATCAAAAGCTGGGTGGAGGGACACATGTCTGTAGTTCTAGCTGATGGGGAGGCTGAAGTGGGAGGATCACTTAAAGCCAGGAGTTTGAGACCAGCCTGGGCAACATAATAAAACTATGTTTAAAAAACAAAAACAACACACACACACACACACACCCCACACCACACCACAAGACTATATTTAAAAAACAGAAACAACACACACACACACACACACACCCCACACACCACACACACCAGTGTGTCATGAATATTCATAAATGAATAGCAATTCCTTCTGCTAGAGCTCTGCAGGCTCCTCCTCCAGAGGTCCCAGGCCCTATCTGTCCCCAGAGCGCCATCTAGTGGTCCAGAAAGTTCTGCACTCCCCTGCTACCCACAGGACCCATCACAGCTGTACCAGCTCTCAGTGATGTCTGCTGTGTGCTAGACACAGACCCCAGTGTCCAAGAAGAACCCACTCCCTGGGACAGAAAGACAAGGAAGGAAGCCAGGGACTGAATGAAGCACTGGGGGAGGGGTGTGTTGGGAGGATTCAGGGAGGGCTCTGCCAACCAGTTCTCACCCATAGCCTGGCCCCTATCCTGCCTTCAGACCTGTGCCCTAGTGTCCCCCACCATTCTTTATCCAGAGCTCTGCTGAGGTCCTTCCTACTGACTTCTTGACCCTGGGACCTGCCATTCAGTTACCCAGTTTTCTTCACAGTCTTAGAACCAGGGTTATAGTGGTGGCTGAGAGGCAGGACTGACCTCAGGGCAGTGACCTCTGACTTAGAAGTCACATCCCATCCAGGGATGTTACAGAGAACTGGGAAAGGGACTGGAGCTTGAGCCTGAGCATTGGGGAGTCAGGAGGGCATTTAGGGGTGGGGGTTCCCTCAATCCAGGCACTTCCCTGCGGCCCACATGCCTGAGCTCTTCTCTCTCCTCAGAAACCCAAGGACTTGGACTTTGCCCAGCAGAAGCTGACTGATAAGAACCTGGGCTTCCAGATGCTGCAGAAGATGGGCTGGAAGGAGGGCCATGGCCTGGGCTCCCTTGGAAAGGGCATCCGGGAGCCCGTCAGCGTGTATGCAGCAGGCAGCCAGCCTGGGCGGGCGGGGGCGGGCCTCAGTCCTTTGACCTGCAGCCTGATTCTTGGCTCCCCTCATGTCCAAGGTGGCTTAAAGCTGGCAGTTGGTTTTTGTTTTTTAAACAAAAGGCGTCTTCAGATGAGAAGCTGATCATTTACATATGCAGGTGTTTACAGGGCTCCTTTCTGCCCTGGTGTAGATTTTTTAACCAGCTTGTTGGCCCTGGTCATTTTGGCCACATTTGTTATCGTCATCAAAGCTGAGTGGTATTTCTGTGTAGTTTCAACCTGGAACTACTTTCCCTTTCCCGGGAACCCATAGGTGGGTCAGCCAGGGTCCCAAACACAGGCCCAAAGTTTATTAAAGCTCGATCATAACATCCAGCAGGCATTTCATTTAATACTGAGCTTAGCCCCTGCTGGGTAAGGCATTACGAGCTAACCAGGGCCCTCTAGGCACCCCTCAAAAGCCAGCTCTTCTTCGAGGGTGAGTACTCCTTGTTTCCACCGTGAGTCGTGTCTTGATTTTCCCTTTGATGTCTCAGTGTGTGTCCCAAACACCTGCATCTCACGGACTATTTGTGCCCATGCCCAGTCCCTAGTGTGCCAGGCCCTGGACTCAGATGCACAACTGACTCTCTTTTTCACTTCCTAGGGGAACCCCCTCGGAAGGGGAAGGGTTGGGTGCTGACGGGCAGGAGCACAAAGAAGACACATTCGATGTGTTCCGACAGAGGATGATGCAGATGTACAGACACAAGCGGGCCAACAAATAGGTACGTGCCCGAGCCGGTGCCAAGGTGGTTGCCCTTGCTGGCGTGCTGGTGTGTATTCCAACTTCCCAGCAAAGCTGATGGACCCTGCCCCCCAAAAAATGCCACACAGACACAAATCACTAAATTCTGTAAGGGAAACGAAAGGATCTCTGGATGCCGATATGCCCCATTCTTACCTTCCAGGTTTGCTGAAGGAGCAAACCTCACACTGGCCAAGGGCAGCTGCACGTGGCCTGCCTGGCCTCCCGGCTCTGAGGCCCCTGGGCCAGGCTCCGTGGATGTGCGCATGGACACAGGTCATGCCTGTCTCCTCTCTTGCTCAAGTTTTCTCTCTCAGATGATGGCCGCCTACCACATAACATGACCAGCAAACAGACTGGTCCTAGTCCAGAGTGCCTTGCCATTGTGCAAGTGGAAGGGTGACCGTGACAGCTGCTGCCACAGAGGATGGCAGTTGGCTCTGTCCCTTTGTGAGGGTCTTCACATCCTTTTCCTTCTGCAGGGCCTCGGGCCTGTAAATATCCTCATCTTTCTACTCTTTATTTTTTTTTTAGTTGCCCCTCTCACCTCATTTCCAGCTCAGTTTTGAACAAAATCGTTCTCTTCCTGAATAGATCAAAAGCACTGATGAGAAAGATAAGCTCTGAAGCAGCAATTGCCCTTAAAACAGCATCCCTGCCCTGGATCGGCCTGGAGCCAGTGCCCAAGGACGGTTTGGTGTGTACGTGACAACACGTCTCTGCAGTCTCTGGGGCGGAGGTTTCGCTGGCTTTTCTTTCTCAAAGAAAAAACATGCACCATTTTCAATGTGCTTTTGCCTGTCCTCTCTCTTCACATGCTTTTAGCAGCAAGTCCCCTCCAAATCTGTCTTGGTTCCCCTTCAGAAGGTGGCGCTGCCCCCGAAAGGCACCTCAGCCTGTGAGTGCTGAGGATCCAGCCCCTCTGGCTGGTTTTCCAGTCGGACGGGCCACTGCTCTCCAGAAGTGCTCTGTTAGCAAACGTGATGTGGAAACGATCACAGATGCTGTTTTCTCATTATTCTCCAGAATTTATACGGGGGAGACAAATCGGTAATTACCAAGTCTGCGCTCGGGTACCAAAGCTCTGAAGCTCTCTGAACAGTTGCCATACTTCATTTGATGAATGTGTTATTCATGGTGTCTCTTCTCCTCAATGCATCTTGAGAGACTTAATGAAATTTTAGCGACAGTATAGAATAGCTATCTCGGGTGGAGAGTAATCGTTAAACCTTGAAATTGGCCCCAGATTTACGGCGTCTCTTTAGAATCAACAGTGTAAGCAAACCACAGTGACAAAGGGGTGGGGGTTGTAAGCCCTCCCAGACTCTGCACTTTTCGCACGTGTGGCTGCATCAAGCGCTGTCTTATTACAGCCTTTGTAAGGAGAGGCAGGCTCCTCCTGGGGTGGGCTCTGCAGCTGCTCTATTTCCAGGCGTGTGATCGCTGCCGCTCTCCAGATTCTCCAGCACTCCACTGCCCATAACTACTCAGTTCACTCATTCTTACTCGTAAAGCAGCAGCATTGAAGTTTTAAGTACAGGCAAAAATCTGGAAAACTTAGGATCCTCCTGACACCCCAGGATTAGGGAGCACAGCAATGGCTAGGGCATCAGCCACAGAATTGAGCGGGAAATGCCACTTGTATTGGCTGTGAAAAATCCTGGCTTTGGCCAGGCATAGTGGCGCAAGCCTGTAATCCCAGCACTTTGAGTGGCCAGGGCAGGCGGATCACCTGAGGTCAGGAGTTCAAGATCAGCTTGGCCAACATGGTAAAACCCTGTCTCTACTAAATAAAAAAAACTAGCCGGGCGTGGTGGTGCGCACCTGTAATCTCAGCTACTCGGGAGGCTGAGGCAGGAAAGTCACTTGAACCCAAGAGGCAGAGGTTGCAGTGAGATCGTGCCATTGCACTCAAGCCTGGGCTACAGGAGTCAAACCCCATCTCAAAAAAAGAAAAAAGAAATCCTGGCTTTCTTTAAGCCACAGACCTGCTAGGCTATGGGCACAGCTCCTTATCTGCCTTGTCCCTGTCACCTTGCAGTGCCACCACACCCCGGGGGCTCTGCTTGCTTCTGTAGCTTTGGCAACTGATAGATGTTTATGGCAGTTTAGGTGCCAGCATGGAGGATGGGGCTTGGCTTTGTAACCCAGCTCTCGAACAAACCAGCCTGTGGGGGCCCGGAGTGAAGCTGGTCTTGGGGAGCTACAGGTACAGGGGTTCATCTTTCTTTCCTGACCCCTCTGACAGCTTCCGTGTTGGCCGCGGGTCAGGTGAATGGATGGAGCTCCAAGTGGGGCTCAGCTCACTGGCGCACACTCCCGCAGCGTGGATCGAACGCCCTCTCTCCAGCATCGCTCTGACCATTCCATGTGCTTTGTCCTAGCATGTTCATTCTTCACTTTCTCCACTTCATTTTACTAAAAAGTTAAATGCTTTAGGAATTCGTGGTGTGTGGGCACTGAGCACCACCGCCTACTGCAGCTCCTTCAAGTTTGAGCTGAGATGTTTCTGGGAGCCCTTGGCAGGGGTCAAAGGGCAGCTTAGACAGTCCCCTACACTCTCAGAGGATGCCTCTCCCATGGATTTAGCATTGGGGCAATGAAAGTGTTGGGAGCCAGCAGAGCCTGGTGCGTGCTGCCAGCTGCCGGCCGGCGGGGATGGAGATGCCACTGGCCTTCCATGTCCCCAGCCCTCCCTCTTCACCGAGGCTGCCCTTGCTCTCTGCAGGATCCTTGCGTCGCGTGTGATGTGTGATAGTACAGCCGTGCCAGAGTCACAGTGTGTTTTCTGTCGTTCTAGTTCCAGGGTCGCCCCCAAGAGGACGACAGGCATCCGGAAGTGCTCTCTCGCCACTCTGGGTGCTCACTGTCTCTGGCTTGTTTCCATCACTGGAAATCACTTAGACATTGTAGTGTTTTTGGTCCTTGATAAAGCCTAGAAGACATTTGTGATGTTACAAAATGGAAGTTTTCTTTTGTTTTTGTTTTTTAAGATCTAAGAAATTGTGAATGTTGTTAATCATTTAGACGTTGCAATAAACGTAGAGGAAATGCAGTGTGCCGGGGCGTCCATGGGTGTGTTTTTAAAATCGTCACCAGGATACACAAATGGGAGTGCAGTGTAGAACCAGGCGACAGCTGCCTCCCAGGACGTGCCCTCTGTGGCGTGGTGCTCCTCCCTCAGGCACCCCCTGACTGGCTCACCCACCTGGGGACCTTGTGTCACTGTCACCAGGAAAGCCTGGAAGATTCCAGAGGGCATAAAGTGACCAAGCACCGGAGGGAGGGTGATTCCCCTTCTGGAGAGGATGGGTACCACCAAGTACAGAAGCTGCTTTTGAGGGATGTCAGGGAAGTGGGAGCCCTGCCCCTGCCACCCACAGCTCACCTGTCACCCCAGGGCTTTGCTTCATTCCCAGGGCTAGGGTTCCAGCTGCCGTAGTAAAACCTGGGCCTCCCTCTAAGGAGCTGCCTGTCATCTTCACACTCCCTGCCGTCCCCAGGTGCTGCCAGCCTGCCTATGGTTCCTCTACCAACAGCCCTTTGGCCCTCCAGGTGAGGAGGGAGTGCACAGGGTACAGCAGGGACCAAACCAGCACTTGCAGAGGCCTCTGCCTGACCAGGATGAGGAGGGGAGGGGGCCAGATGCTGTGCCCAGGGCAGGTGATGCTCATGTAGAACTGTCCTGGTGGGCAGCTTAGTGGGAGCCTCAAGACTGCCCTGAGGAAGCTGAGGCAGGACTCCCAGCTCGGTTCTGCTGTGCCCAGGGGAAGCTATTGTCAGCCAGGACGATTGCCCTGCCTTCACCTTAGCCATGTCTCACTGCTAGCTTCAGTGGCACTCCGGAGAAAGGCCAGAGCCTGCAGGGGTGAGCAACTGCCGGGAATTTTTAGGAGTGGAACCCCCTCTTCCCCTAGCTCCTCTTTTTTTTTTTTTTTTTTTGAGACGGAGTTTCGCTCTTGTTACCCAGGCTGGAGTGCGATAGCACGATCTCGGCTCACCGCAACCTCCGCCTCCTGGGTTCAGGCAATTCTCCTGCTTCAGCCTCCTGAGTAGCTGGGATTACAGGCACGTGCCACCACGCCCAGCTAATTTTTTGTATTTTTAGTAGAGACGGGGTTTCACCATGTTGACCAGGATGGTCTCGATCTCTTGACCTCGTGATCCACGCACCTCAGCCTCCCAAAGTGCTGGGATTACAGGCTTGAGCCACCGCGCCCGGCTTTTTTTTTTTTTTTCTTTTCTTTCTTTTTTTTTTTGAGACAGAGTTTCGCTCTTGTTACCCAGGCTGGAGTGCAATGGCACGATCTCGGCTCACCACAACCTCCGCCTCTTGGGTTCAGGCAATTCTCCTGCCTCAGCCTCCTGAGTAGCTGGATTACAGGCACACGCCACCATGCCCAGCTAATTTTTTGTATTTTTAGTAGAGACGAGGTTTCACCATGTTGACCAGGATGGTCTCGATCTCTTGACCTCGTGATCCACCCACCTCGGCCTCCCAGAGTGCTGGGATTACAGGCGTGAGCCACTGCGCCCGGCTCCCTAGCTCCTCTTAATAACACCTGAGGCCAGTCAGGGTGGCTTAGGAGGACAGGATGAGGGGTGGTCTCCAGCCCAGGATGCCTGTCCTGGCATTGACCCCAGGCAGGTCACTTGATCTCAGGCCTCAGTTTCCCCTCCGCAGGCAGGGAATGATCGCATTTGGAAGGTAAAATTTCCCCTGCTGCCTTGCACTAGGTTGGTACAAAAGTAATGGCAAAACCCACAATTACTTTTGCACCAATCTAGTAATTTAGGACTAACTGGAACCTCACCATGCCTCTCCTGGCCTTTCTCCTACCTGGGGCAAGATGGGCAGAGGGCACTGCCTGGAAGCCCCAGTGGCAAAAGCAAGGTGTGGCTTTACTGCACCCCTTTGCTGTGCCCATGTACAGATGTGTACGCATGCGTGTTCAAGCAGCACAGAAGGTTTTCCTTGTAAAAGGTGAAAAACCAGGTTGGGCAAGGTGGCTCACGCCTGTAATCCCAGTGCTTTGGGAGACCAAGGCAGGTGGATCACCTGAGTTCGGGAGCTTGAGATCAGTCTGGCCAACATGGTAAAACCCTGTCTCTACTAAAAATACAAAAAATTAGCTGGGTGTGGTAACGCATGCCTGTAGTCCCAGCTACTTGGGAGGCTGAGGCAAGAGAATCGTTTGAACCTGGGAGACGGAGGTTGCAGTGAGCTGAGATCATGCCACTGCACTCCAGCCTGGTGACAGAGCAAGACTCTGTCTAAAAAAAAAAAAAAAAAAAAAAAAAGATGAAAATCCAAATCCAGGTGTATGCGGAATGAAGTACAGCGGCTTCCTCCTCCCTTGAGTCAAAACAAATGGCAGGACACACCAAGGGTGCCACTTGCAGACTGCCTTCCTTTCCCCACAAGTGGTCTCGGCAGTCTCCACGGCCCGTGGGAGAAGAGCAGATGTTGAGTTGGCTTCAGAGGATACTCCACATGTAGACGACCATAGGCACAATCATGATTCAGGTAGAACCCTTAAAATGCAAATTTTTTTTTTTGAGACGGAGTTTCACTCTTGTTTCCCAGGCTGGAGTGCAATGGCGCGATCTCGGCTCACCGCAACCTCCGCCTCCTGGGTTCAGGCAATTCTCCTGCCTCAGCCTCCTGAGTAGCTGGGATTACAGGCACACGCCACCACGCCCAGCTTATTTTTTGTATTTGTAGTAGAGACGGGGTTTCACCATATTGACCAGGATGGTCTCGATCTCTTGACCTCGCGATCAACCCGCCTCCGCCTCCCAAAATCCTGGGATTACAGGCTTGAGCCACCGCGCCCGGCTAAAATGCAAATTATACTTCAAGTTCTATTCTGCTCCCTGGTGGGTTTTGTTTTTCTTTTCCCCCCACTTAAAAAAATCTGAAACCATGCGTGGTAGTTGCATGCCTATAATCCCAGCTACTAGAGAAGCTGAAGTGGGATGATCACTTGAACCCAGTATTGGAGGCTGCAGTGAGTTGAGATTGCACCACAGTACTCCAGCCTGAGCAACCCTGTATCTAAAAATACAAACCTGAAATAAACTTACATACACACGTGTATACGTATGATGGACTTGTTTAGCTGACAGGTTCTCACCCCTAGCCATTTGGGATTTGGGCCCCTACCTCCTAGAAGAGGCTGCTTTGTGGATGAAGTCCAGGAAATAGCATTTATGAGACCAAAGGGTCCGAGGGTCTCCTGAGCTTGCTGCCTCCCTCCACACGGTTCTTGTGCCATCTAACTTTGGGGTGACCCTGCTGATGCCCCAATTCCCTAGCTTCCCTGCCCTCTCGGAGACAGTGGGGGCTGTGGTTCCTGCAGGTGCTTCCGGCAGGCACTGGCCGTTAGGGTGGGCTCCACTGCCAGCCTCACCCCCAACCCCTGACTCCTTGGTATGTGGACCTGACTGCTGACCCTCTCTACCTCCTCCAGGCCTCACAACTCTGTCCCTGTCACCCCCACCCTGTCCAGGAGCCTGTGCTGGTTTGGGGTCACCGTGTTCCCTCAGGGGCCTTACCAGGCCTCTGTCTCCCCTCTGTCCACACACTGTCCCAATGCCCACCCACAGTGGAGGGTGGTGTCTTGAGGGCCAGAGAGATGCCAGCGACAGGGACGCCATCACTGACCCTCTGCCCACAGTCAGTCGTCCCCCAGATGCTCAAGCGGTGGGACCCTCCACGCCGCCATTTTCTCCAGTGAAATGCAGCTACCAGCTTGAAGGGTTAAATACGTACAGTTTTCCAGGACCTC